TCAAAGCTATCCGTGATGAAAAATGAATTCTCTCTACAGAGCATAGAGTTGGTATTCTCAAAATGGATACACTATATTTATTTATCTGTTCCAAACGCTCCCAGTTAGGGGACCTAACCATTATAGTGGAATTGGTTCATAAGTTCTACGTTCTTTGGAGTGGCCGGTATCCAGAATATTAGGTTCTATTAGATCAGCACTCACGAAGAGTAGGGCTCCCAAACAAACTTCAGTTTCTAATTACTCAATCGCAATCACAAATTTGATTTGCATTTCAGACACAGATTTATGGTTGAAACAGATTGGAACTCCTTCTTCATAGCAAGCTTAACAGGATCCATTCATATTCTGCACATTCAATTAAACCCAGGAGGAATTTGCCATCACTTTCATATTTGGCAGGTTCATTCTACTTTGTCCCCTTTATGGGATAGCCTTAAACTCTCAACTCTCTGCAGAGAGAGAAGGGGCTTTCATTCCTCATTTACTTGAAGAGACATTGTAAACATATTATCAACATTTCTATTGAAGCCAGAGACAACTCACAGCTTCCTTTCCATTCTGTTGGTTTCCACTCTAATGCATTACTCTGGGGTCTCCAGGGCTCCAACTGACCTAAAACTTTGGAATTAGCTAAACAGAGTGCAACACTCCAAGGAGTGAGCACAAACTCTATCCCAGACTGAGATTTCCATGGGTGGCGGCATACGTACGTGGAAATCTCAGTCTAGCTTGGATATTCTTGGATATGGTGATGGATTTCTGCCCCCCACCCTCCCAACCCCCAAAAGTAGGGCATTTCATTTTAAACATCCAAGAACATCATATTATGAGTATTTACTGCATACAGATTTTAGGACAAATCCTGGCATATGTATTTTTGATGGATTTCTAAATCTACAATTTTAGTGAGTGGTTATTATTAAATTTTGAATCATTTTTATTAAATATAAATGACTCCATATGCTAATGCTATGAAACATGTAGGAAATTCAGACATCCAATAATATGTTTCTAATAAATGTTGCTCCCAACAACAGCTATTCTCTCAACTTCCTAGGCACTGGTGAATGATTCCACACACACACACACACAAGCTACCGGGGTAATACTAATAAAACACATACACAATCTTAAATTTTCAAATCCCATGAACCATAGATTGCCTAGGTATGCTATAGTCTATTTAATGCACCTGCTGATTTGCATTTGTGGTACATTTTCAGTTGAATCATGTACATTTTAATCAAGACAAAAATTAAGTATATGTGGATTATACCCAACTCAATGAATGATGTGGAAAGCAAGAAAATATAGAAGAATTCTGCCCAACGCACTCAGTGTCCTTAGGGACACAATTATCCACACAACTATCACAATGCAATTTCCTGCAGCTTTCCTCAGTTCTCTAAATAGCTCAGTTTTCTGCTTCTTCACCGTAGGCTGCCAATTTTTACTTTCTTGCCTTTATTACCAATTTCTACCATATTACTTTAGCCCACTACCATTCTGCTTTATGTGCACATTTTTGATAGCTATCATCCCTTACTGATAATGCTCCTCCTCCACACAGTTTAACAGGTTTCTCTTTGCAAAGAATCTTATATCCTCTAAAGATCTATTTTTGCTTGCATCAGATGTCTGACATACCAATACTTTTATCAGCCAATGCACCTTTAACTCCTACAATTTATTCATAATACTCTTTGTATTAATATAAAAATATTGAAGTTTTTCAATCATTCTATTTCCATTGAACCGTTTATATTCAGGTTGTTTTATTTATTTACAGCAACACAATTCCACACTGCCATGAAATCGTCAATAATTACAGGCTCATCTGTTTTCTAAAGTATTAATCCTACCTGAACCAAATTAAAATGTTTTCATGCTCCACACTTCCCACCTTTAATTAGTTCCAAACTATCCTTCCAATAAAAGTTAAAGTGAGTGCCTCAAATTTGCATGTCAGATAAACAGGGTCTTGGAATGTCCTCTTGACACGAAAGGCGCTATACAAATGTGATATTCTATTGTATATTCACTCAACTGCAATGTGCTCGATACTGTGAAACAATGGTGGCAAAATAAGCTCCGAACACGTTTAACCATTAATAGAATTTATTTAGAAGAATCCGAGAACAAGAAAGAGACTTGAAAGAAGAAAAATCTGGATCCAATGGTAACAGGTGTCAGCCTGACTTGGTTGGTAGCATTCTCACCTGTGAGTCTGGTCACTGGTTAAAATATGTACGCGCTATTAAAGATTCTCACTCATCTCACCATATGCATACGTTAATTCTCTCACTAATTCTTTCCATTTCATAATAGTTGTCATCAACTTTGCACTCTTTGCTTACAAAGTTGTGGAGCACAAGTTTTAATTTTCTCTTAATTCTGATATATATTCCGGATGGAATGCTATACAGTATCTTTTTTTAAAAAATTGTCAAACATTAATTTACACAAAATAACCCAGAATGTACTGATCTTACAATGGTGCTCACAATTGGAGTTATTGTGGCAATGACCATAATGATTTAGAATTTTTTCAATTTTCCAGTTAAAATTATTCCCAATTTTCAACTGCAGGCAGAAACGAGAAGCGTTGATGTCTCTTGGATTCTACTCTCTCGTACCATGCAATCGTCTTCCAGCATATTATCATCAAAAAAAGTCATACAGTTGCTGTTGTGCTGAGCGCATCAGTCTGCTGCAGAATAGTTTGGGGTGGGAACGCCATTTCAGACAAAAATAAATCCATTCTACTTTTTCATTTTCAAAACAGGCCAATTTGACATTTTAGATTATAATAAATCAATGGTAACTGGAAACTGTTTTGTTATTGAAGTTTTTAAACTGCCGTTGAAATGAGAAACAGCACATTTGCATTAATTTACTCCACACCATAGCACCACGTTACAACAGACTGGTTCAAGGGATTAGATAGAAAAATTAGGTTTTAGATTTTAAATGAAAACACATGAAGTTATTTTAGACAGCTGGAGAGTATATTGTTCCATATCATCTACTCATGCTTGGCATATTGCCGAACTCTGGGCACATAAAAAATTAAATCATTTATATTTTACACCTGGTGTTAACCAGAATAGCAAAAAATTCAGTCAATTACTTTGACAAAAATTCCACAAAAAATCATGCAAATCACTGTATGAAAACCAGCTACAAGATATTGAGAATATGCTAAATGACCTTCATAAATTCAAATATAACCTTTATTTTTGCATAGCAAAAACAACTTGGATTTATATAGCGCCTTCCACACCGGACGGCGTCTCAGAGCGCTTCACAGTAACAGATCCCGGGACTGGACACATATACACATCCCGGCACATACTAAGTTCTCGAACAGGTACCCAAAATAAGAGATTGATTGGTACAAAAATGTTGCCCATGAACTTACATACATATACAGTAAACACACTGCATGTAGACTATTGATATTCTATAGTCCAGAACCTCACATTACAAACCTATTTTATTTTTCAGGAATTCATATAATATTCACGAAATTTGGTACTGTAATGCCTTGGTTTACTTAAAATACTTCCTAATTATAATAGGATTGTTTTCATAAATGGCAGTGTATTACTACATCACCACCATCTATTTCATATTATTGTAATTGGTTGCCCTATTAACATTTTAAAATTTCTATTTAGCCAAATGTGAATATCAAGCTTTCATTGAACACTGAGACATATGGTTCTAACAATAAGATCTCTAAGCAACTTGCCCTGTGTGCACTGGTCTATTGAAGAAATTGTTTCATTTGCAGTGAAACATCTTTTTTCCTGTGTGTTTGGCATATCGGAGGAAACTAACTTGGATAGACATCTCACAAAATTAACATTTGTATTTCCTAACAGACAATAACCTTTTTAAGGTTAAGAAATGTGGTTTATAAAGAGGAAAAGGCATGTTTGAAGCAACAATAATTTAGATGTATTCAAATTAGCTCTTAAGCGTTTCGTAAACTGCAGCTTTGAAACAGCTAGATTGCCTAAAATAAAAACAGGTTGATTTTAATCACTGCTCTTTAAGGGATCAGAGTATGCAAAACACTGACAAGAGGTGACAACAAATACTTTGTGTAGCACTGAATTTAAATGCTATTGAAACATCTCACAAGCCATTATAACAAGGAACAACGTTTCTTTAAACACAATGTAAATACAATGTAAAATCATTCAGTTGCTCTACTTCCTTCACAGAGGGCTACTGTTGAAAAATATTCCAAACAAATGTCTGTTACCAAAGGATTGACTAAAAGCTGTACTGATTGAATAGGGTCATTCCACACCTCAAAAAAATTATAAATTAATATTGCAATAAGCTGCATCTCTTCACTTGTACTTAAAATAAATATAAAAAACTGTTAATATATATATACGATAATAAAATATCAAAATCAAATCAAAATCTATGAAAGGAATAACTGATTTAGATAGGATTCTAAAACAAATTAGCCTTGCCTGGACACCTTGAAAAAAAATGATGACTAAAACATTCATGTAAACTCTCCAAGGACACTGTTGCTACTGCTTCAGTCTCTGGACACACATCAAACAAAATCAGCTCAGTCTATCATGCCATCTGCCAAGCAGCTTCAATCTCTACATTCCACTGTGCATTACCTGCAATTCATTTTGCACTGCAGATGTGCATTATCATCTTGAACACAGTTAGAAGACACCATGCAGGATTGCTTGCTCACTATGATAAAGCTTGGGAAATGTAAAAGGTACTGTAACCGTACACCCGAAGTCAGTGTAGTCCGAGTGCAAAAATGACTAATCTGTAAAACTCATTGCAGGCTACGCTTGCCGCTCGCAAATTTCAGCTCTGCACCACAGCATAATTATTCAAAAAAATAGAACATTTTGGTTCAGTGAACATTGGAGCATTCACAGTGAAAATCAGCATCAGTCCATTTAACTGCATTTAAGACTGCAGTCCATTTAAGACAGCAGACTTACCTTAAGGATATTCTGTGTTTCATTCCATTTGTTAGTCCATTCTTTGGTCAGTTCTTCTACCTGTTATCAAAGAAACAACTCTCAATCACCCAAAAATACAATTTCACTGTATTTGTATTTATTAGATGCAAATCAGTCAATGAGAAAAATCAGTTAATGAGAAATATGATTGATCTGAATCTTCTCAAGAGAAAATTACAATCAAACATTCAGTAATACAGTAATATTTTGACATGTACAAAGTAGTTTGGTAGTACAAAGTAGTAACCGAATCTTCAAACATGAACGTGCTGAATTGGTGTTAAATACAGAAGATCAGACATGGGACAAGGGATAAAGGTTCATTGCATCCCAGATATACAATGTTATCTTTAAAATAACTCCCACCCCCAGAGCAGTAGCAAGTTAACAGTTTGAGCAAAATCTAAAACACCAAGGGTTATATCAATACAAACCATTTTTTTTAAAAAAAAACTTTTTTCCCAAGTGCTTACTATTAAAAAAAACGCATAAATCCTGATGTGAAATATTACTGGACTGAATTTGAAACTGTGTATAACAAGTCTAATGTAAATATAAATTGGTTACCACCGAAATTCTGATTCCCTAAATCACAGTCTTCCAAAAAAAGTTACTCCCCCCCCCCCCCCACAATAACAAATGCCAAACATTTTAATTTGCACCTGCATTGCAACAAACCCATCTTATATCAAAACATACTGACGATTCTAAATCCTCAGCCCAATACTCAGTGCACAACAATTCACAATGGTCCAGTTTGATCCCTTTAAGTGGAAGCTGCCTACAAAGAGATATGAACTAGTATGCCAGTGAAATTAGCCAAGACGTTCTAATCTCATCTTTCTACAATATTTTAGCTTTGTTATTATAGCTGGGTATTAGAAAGCATACTGTAGTGAAAAATTGATGCAACTGGCCCCATTCATCTTTCCTTCATTTCTTTTGGACTTGAGTCACATATTAAGACCATCAGTTATTGGTACAAATTGATTTACATCCATAATTGCAGCAATAACTTCCACATAAAATTCTGGACCAAAGTTTAATCAAACCTCTAATTTATCCTCACCAATGAGAGCAATGAATGTTTAGGTCCAATGTAAAACATTCCGTCTTTTGGATTAATGAAATTTCACTCTACAGAAAAACCCAAAATTTCCAGCATTTATAATTCAGGCACGAAGGTTCAATCCTTAATAAGTGGCCAGGACCGATTTAATTAACATTGGGAATTGCTGTATTTGGATGTATACACATTATAGAAATTAATAATCTTTTTCTATTTAGATTAACATTGTCATTTCAACAATTAAACTTCTGACATACATGTCATAAAGCTATCGCAAGCCAATACAGTGTACCACTACAATAGAGACGCATTTTATTTTTACAGCTTTCATTTTCTCAAAAACTAGAGCATGTCAATATTTCATTGTATTACCTTCATTTGTCAGACCAGCAAAGCTAGATTTTCTCATGCTGCATTTCCCATGTGTCAGAATAGACATTTGTCAGAATGAAAATAATGTACTGGGAAACTGAACATTCACTTTCTACAAGGTGGACGATCAGTCAATTTTAATATTCAGGTGAACATGTTGCAAAAGATTTCTACCCCAAATCCAAAAGGTAGCTCAAAAAAAATTTAGAATGTAGTAATTTTCATTTATATAATGGCCGCTTCATGTCAAATTGTCTCAAAGCATTTCAGAAGTAACTAGTCAAGTATAGTGTGTTTTTTAAGTTGGTAAATACAGCAGCCATTTGCTCCAGCAAGGTACCACAAATAGTGATGAGGTGAAGGACCACTTAATATGAAGGGTTGTTGGGTAGGACACTGGAGGGAACTACTGTCTCTTCTTTTTTAAGTATTTAGGATCTGTTAACATCAACCAAACGAACAGCCAAATAAGCCTCTCGGTTTAATGTCTTAGGTGAAAGATAGCACCTCTAATATTACCACTCTCCCCAAGAGAGCACATTGTTAGTCTATACTATGAACTGAAGACACAACTTGGAGCTTACATAAGAACATAAGAATTAGGAGCAGGAGTAGGCCATTCGGCCCCTCTAGCCTGCCCCGCCAATCAATAAGATCATGGCTGATCTATTCTAACTCCACCTACCCACCTTATCCCCATATCCCTTAATCCCTTTATGTACAAGAAATGTATCTTACATTGACAAACCTATATACGTATAGTTCAAAGACTTTTAGCGAACAAGATCATTTGAACTATACAATACTTATGATTTAGGAACACTGAATTCTGTGAAATAAAGCAAAGGGAATATATGCCTACAGTATTTGAGGGGGTGGGTTACAGTTTTAGTTTCAGAGGCAAAATCCTATCTCAGTTATAAGAGGAAAAATGTTAATGTGGCATTTTTGTAATTAATGCTCAACAGATATATTATTTGCTACAAAGAAAGGCTATTTTATGAAATGTTAACGCATTACTTACTCTAGCTTCATTCTGTTGCAGCTTCTCCTCCATACTTAAAGCTGTTGGAGAATCTAACAACGCAATCTGAAAAAAAAAAATTTAGTTACAGCTACACAAGAGCAAGAATGNAAAAAACCTATATATAATCAAAACAATTTTTTAAAACCATTGAACTGAAGATTCCTTGACTGACCAGATGGTGACCACATTTAAAGTTTCCGTAGAGACATTTACATCACTAAGTAATGGTCAATATACTTTGCTAAGCATTCACATAAACCAACTGTAAATCTCTTAACAAAAACCATATTTAACATCCAAATGGATCTGCTTTAATGTTCCAATGTAAAATGGTCCAATCCATCTGTTTTTCCAATTGTTTTCATATTCCAATATACCGTACCTCTGACATTCAGGCCAACTTTACAGTATAAAAAGATGCACGTTATACGGGTACATGAAAAATTGCAGTCTGATACGCATTAGGTTCAGAGTTTCAATAAATTCTCCTTCCCATCACGCATCATATAGCTGGGCTTCTTTAGTACACTGTTCTGTAATTCTGATCTTGATAACCTTGATAAATAAACTCCTTGGTTTATATTAATTTTATCATTACAATCTCAAATAAATTAAATTCAATAAATGTTTTCAAATAAGGTCTCTGGTACCAACAGTATCTCTCCTATTCTTCTCAAGAAATAATCTTTTGCAGCCTCTTCGATTTCTCATACTCCCAGCAAAGCTTTTGTTTTTTGGAAATCATCTCATCTTTATCTTATGACTATAAATTCCAATTTATTCACCCTTTCAAACAGTGTTTATACAGTACTTGCTAAAATTACAGAGACTGCTGTCAACTCTCAAGTAATCCATTAACTTGAAAGTTATTTCCTTCTTAATTCACAATTAGTAATATGTGTTTCAGCATTATCATTCTATTACGGCAAGATTCCAACTTTAGGGAATCATTTACCACTACTTTGTTGATATCTAAAACCTTAACACACAATGGCCACTTTTACCATCCTAAGGCCTTCTCACCAAAGATAAATTCTTGACTATCCAGCAGACTCTCAGATCGTTCTTTTACTTTGCTGTAGTTGATAGCTCATCCTTGCATACCTAGGGTTCCACTTAACAAGTTTCTCCTCTCGTCACCCACCTTTTTTGCTGATTCTACTCTCTATTCCCTAAATACACACAACATTCACTTCTCACTGGAATGGATGAATTACTATTCCTTGATTTCCTCTGTGTTCTTTATTAGGCAATGATAAATCTGCTTTCTTTCAGTCTATCAAAAACAGTTCCTTTAGGTCACTTCAAAATCTAACAATTACTTTTGATTGGTCCACTCACAAGCTTTTTTTGTCTATCAAAATCTATCAACCGGCATAGACCAGTTGGGCTGAATGGCCTGTTTCTGTGCTGTATATTCTATGTAAAATACCAGGTCTCACAATCCTATCTTCAAATGAAATTCGCACATCTCCTAATTGCGAAAGCTGCCTCTGTTAGATTAGCTTTCATTTTCACTCCATCTTCCTTCCTTCAACTCTATATCAATTGTAAATTCATCCAATACTTGAATACTCCCTAATCTGTGCAACAGTGGCATAGACAGTATCAAATATACTCTCACAATAGAACTGTATAGATAGAGCATTGATAACTTCAGCTTCTTGAAAAGAAGCCTGCTGATGGAGTCTACTGCACGTGCAGTGCTTTTAATTTGCAAACAGATCTTGCGTGCAGATTGTTTTGACAATTGGGACAAACTATATGCACTCTTGGAACATCAAGAAAACCGAATGCAATCTTGGAAATGCAAACAGAAATGGTTGATGCTCTGATTAATGTTTTAGGAGCTCCATAAACACTGCATCAGGAACTGAAGACTGAAAAAAAATATACTTTTAGATCAGTGTATACTTTATATACTTTTATATTTATATTTTTAAGCCAGATATCTTTGGGGAGAAAAATACAATATGTGGGATGCTAACAGTGCTTATTTTAGGGTTGAAATTCCAATGGTGCAATGTGTAGAAGCTTTCACAACATGTACTGCTAATGGGATTACCCCATTCCTATTCCACACAACAAAATTGCTACATGAGGTTTAATGGCAAGCAGGTGCAATAAAGAGACATCACAATGGATTTAGAAGCAGTATTATACGTCACTAATCAACTATTTTAGGGCCATTCTGTGGATACAATTTATATTTATATAGTGCCTTTCACATTGGGAGGATGTCTCAAAACACTTAACACTACTAGCTGGTAGTGAGAAGCTGCTTAAAATGACCAAAAAAGGGGTCAATGGGTACATCTTGAAATGGACCTTGAACAAAGTGAGGAAGGGAGGAGGCAAGGAACAGGGGTGATAGGCTCACTAAATGTGAGTAAGGTTGGGGTTGGTAGGTTTGTGGAGCTTGGTGTGGGAAAGTATATAATTTAACTAGATTTTTTTTAAAGGTTTTTTTTAAACAATCTATGTCTGAGACATTTAAAATTAACTCATTAAATAAACTGGTTTGATTAAAAAACTGTTTAGCAAAAGGTAGCAGAAGGTAAATGTCACACACTTGTGAAGTTTCAGAAGTTAAAAACCAAGCAGTGGAACAAATTTCTACAACATTAGGATCAATAGCTGGAAGAAGCCGGCCTTCCCGGCACCTCCCTCCACAAGCTGCAGGTCATTCAGAACTCTGTAGTTCGTGCACTGTCCCACACCAGGCTTCACAACCACATCACTCCCACCCTCGCTCGCCTCCACTGGCTCCCCATCCCCCAGAGGATCGAATTCAAGATCCTCATCCTCACCTACAAGGCCATTCACGGCCTTGCTCCCTCCTACCTCTCCGACCTACTATCCCCCTACCTACCTGCCCGTACCCTCCGTTCCTCTGGTTCCGGTCTGCTCCACATCCCCCGCCCCAACATCGGCGGCCGGGCCTTCACCCTCTCAGCCCCGAGGCTCTGGAGCTCCATCCCCCAGTGCCTTCGCCGCTTCCTCCCTTTCCTCCTTCAAGGCCGGTCTCAAGTCCTTTCTCTTTGACCGAGCCTTCAGCTCCCCTCTCGACTCTCTACCCCCTCCTCGCTCCCTCCCTTCCCTCCCCTCACCCTGACCATTTCCCCCCTGTTCGGGTCCTGACCCAACTGTCCAGCACCTTGGGACGTCCTCCCGACGTGAAAGGCGCTCTATAAATGAAATCTTGTTGTTATTGTTGTTGTTATTACACAACAAAAAGTATTAACAAAACATGTTTTCAGATCTATTCATTAAGGCATATAATATTTGGGGTTAGCTTGAAATGTGTCTAGATTGTTGCAAATTGGTTTATTCTCAGACAAGATTGCCTTGTATTCAGTAGTTACATTGTCTACCTCTCACACAGAAGCAGAAATTATATCGAATTGTATGCTTGCCAAGTGCTATGCTAATTAGACTGAAAGCCAATGTCTGATGTCAGAGAAATCTTTCAACCACAGGATCCCACTTCTGCTTCTATCAGCCACTGCCATCGCTAATGGTATTTTTACTGGTTTCAAGACGTGAAAAGCGCTACATCAAATGCAAGGATTATTATTATTATTATTCTGTGCATACATGGAAAATATGATGCAAACACTTAAAACATTCCGCATAAGTACGTGGAATCTTGGGATAGTCCCACGGGCATAAGTGCAAGAAGAATACTACTCAGAAACACGTTCCAAACCGCTGCCAGTGACAAATGTTAACAATGGAGGGAATGAAGCTGCTTTGAATAATGGAGAAGTGGGTTTGAAAGAGTTTTTGCTGGACTCTGGTGTTCATGGAGTCTGGAGTCTCTATGCAGATATTTCCCATGATGTAAAGTCGAATACAGGGTAGATTTTGGAAGGACTGTTAAGGAGTAAGGTTGAAAAGTCAAAAGGGCCTTTGTTGTTCCAGGTTTTATATTCTTAATGCATTTATAACTGGCATCCTTTTAGTTTAGTTTTTAAACTGATTTCCAACATAAATAACTGTTTTTTTTGGTGAAAGTCAATTGGTAAACAACTATTTTTTCTGAAAAAGAATTATATTCTCCAACNTTTTTTCTGCTCTCAGGATGTGTATGCAATGCAATTCTACTGCTTTGCAATGCAAACTTACACTCACAGATGACCTTGGAGCCCTGGGATGGTAAAGTTGACCAGAGATGATGTGCGCTGGATGTATGTAACATACTTTAGGACATAGTCTTAATATCCATATGTTACTTGTCAGAGTTGGTCACATTGGTCACTAGTAATTTGACAATGAAGGATTTTTACTGATTTGACGAATTGATCGCTTTTCTGTGTCAATTACCCCCCATTGCCTCAACGTTATTTTTACAGGATAAATAGACCTCGAAAAATACCCGTTTTTGCATTTTGCGGAATAAAAAAAATCGGTAAGCAGTATGTATCTGCCCAAGGAGAGTGTGCGGATTCCATTCTAGGAAAATATCCGTGTGTACGTGTAATGCATGTCAGACGCCCAGCTGATCAAAAATAATTAATGTCACGGTGCTCCACATTGTCATACTGTATGGAACAAAGTAGCTTTCCACATGATGCATAAACCCAACATTGGTTTCTCCGAGATAAAGCTGTATTTTGTAGTAGAAGAACATGGTTGCCATCTAGGGGTTATTTGCTGCAAACAGACTGATATACAATTACAAAATATAACACACAGACTGCACTGCTATTGATTTTTAGAAGTTTGTAAATTAGGTTCATAAATCTATTAAGCTAAAATGAGCTCCATTTCATAAGAAATGATGAATACATTCTTATTATTGTACACAATAAGCAAATAGGAAGTTTCATCAGCCAAGCTCAAAGTACAAATGATTTATCAATCGACTCCATCCTGCGCCATAATTAGTCTTTCTGAAGTTGCCATAACACAAGCCAATTCAAATTAGGAATCAGGAGTTCTTACCTCATAAACAAAAATAAAATGATTAATCCATCAAAGTTAAAAACGAACCTTATTCCCCTGAGCAAGTAATGCCTTCAGTCGAGCTATTTCAGCACGGAGTTCACGAATGAGTTTGACATTAGTATCTTCATTAATGGTAGGCTTGTTAATTATGTTTTTGGCTCTATTTGCATAGCGAAGTGTACTCAACGTTTCTCCATAATTGACATCTGCAGGTGAAATGGCTATCAAAAGGAAAACAAAAAAGAAAATTATGGTACACTGAGCTCCCTTTATGAAACACTTTATGATAATGAATGTGGAATGCCAACACAAACAACTAATGAGTATTAATAAACAGACATGCATTTAATAAACATTTCAGCATGCTTCAGATACAACCATCATAGTCTCCATGGTCAACCAGGCCATCAACAGTCATGGTCAAAGCATGAAGAATGGACGTTTGATGGAAATGTAAAAAGAGTTACCACCACTCATAAGAAGCTGACTTCAAGAAAGGAAAGAAGTTGCAAAGCTTTCTTCGCTTTCATTCCACAAGCTTTTAACCATTGTACATTGCACTTCTGCCTGAAATCTCTATTTACTCCTAATTTCCACATTTTCAATTGATTCTCCTCATTTTCTTTTTAATGAAATATAGAAAAGAGTTTCATACAAGATAAACAAGATTTTAAACACAGCTAATTTCTAGTAGATTTAAACGGCAAGAACCGATAACATCCAGGAAATTGGAATGAGGGAGTAAGTAGAGAAAGGATTGTGTGCATGAGTGGGTTGGGGGGGGCAGCAGAAAGCTTTTCAATAAAGGAGTCTATATAATGTTTCATCTATATAATGCAAAAAATTGATGAAATATCTCATAATTGTAAGAGATATCCAAATTTGCAGCCAGCTAAGTCTTCCCCTTGCACTAAGAAGTCATTTTTAGGTGTGCCAAGGGCTGGCTATTTAGAGAAATGCCCAATATTGTCATCTGAACCAACTTTTTTTTCTGTTCGCCAAGCACACTGCAATTATCCAGCTACTACTGTCTTTACTCTAGCTTGGGTTTCAGATCAATATCCATGAAGTAATTTGTAATCATTTAGATTTTTATTGATAGTAAGGTAAGACTCCATTGTCTGAGTAATCAATAGGCACACTAAATGTAATGTAATGAACTGGAGTTACGAGCATTTTGAACAATAACACTTACTGGCAATCATAATCGTTTTTGAGTTCCCACCAAGGCTGTCTTTCAACAGCCAGGTCAAAACAGAGTCTCTGTAAGGCACAAACACTTGTTTCTTCTTTGCTTGAGAGCTCACCCCATCCTGAGACAAGTCGGCTGTAAAAGTTTGGAAAAAAAAGTTCAATTTCTCAGTTTTTTCTTTACAAGCTCACCAATATATAAAAACTCATATCAATGGAAGCAGCCAGCTGTTTTAATACAAAAACAAAGACTCACCTAAGGCAGAAATGACATTTCCCAGAGTGACGAGAGATTTATTTATATTCCCTCCTTCTTTCAATCTTACTCCAGTAGCACCTGTGGCATCTGCTCTTTCACTTCCTGCAAGATCTACCAAGTGGATCTTGCTAACCGTTTCACAGGGCATTTCAGCATCAAATTTGGCCTAGTGTTTGAATTTACTGAAATTAGTTATATTCTAAACAACATTTAGTCAACCCATATTCAGCGACTATTAAGAATTTCTGTACTAAAAGTAATAGCATTTAAAATGATAAAATATTCCTTCCTCACAATGATCCTCAAGCTAATAACTGTTTCAGTGACAGGGTTAAGAACTAGTTCCCCTCTCCTTATCTGAAGGTGTGGACTTATACCTTGATACAGTTACATAGATACTTGGGATCCTTGCTCAACAATGTAGAGCTGAATCAATGAATGTCAGCACACCATTTATTGTATGTGTGTGTGTGGGGGGGCGGGGGGTGGGTAGAGTGGGGGGAGAGATAGTTATCAGGGAATGGAAATACTGGCTGTTTTTTCCCTTGCTTGTCCAAGGGTGCTGAGGTTATTATAGTGTCCCTAGTGATACCTGGCTGAGATCACTAGATTCAGTACAAACCACATTATGAACCAGAGACTGTCCATGTGGTCAGTTTCACACTGGACAGCAGAACTAGTTGTTCAATTGAATAGCATGCCAAAACCATTTTCCTGAAAACTTAGGGTAGGAAGAAAGATTTATTGTGTCCTTGGAAAAGGATTGCAGAGTAGGTCAGTATATACAGCAATTGCTATTTTATAATGAAAGAACACTGCAGAAAAGGTAGTTTAAGACTTAATTTAGCAATCTGAATCCAGGGAATATTGGGGATTTTAAATTATGCAGGATAACACAAAGCACTTTGTAAGAAAACACCAAAAGATTTTCAAAATTGTTAAGATTTAAGATTGTGCAACTCCCTCTATTGCTTTAATTAACTGAATAGTGTGAAAGCTATCCTTCAGTACGGTGTCCAATGGGCAATCTGACAAGAGTGCATTTCATGAACAATTTCCCCTCGCAGCAATTTGTGGAATTATCACGTGTACACTACTAATTAATACAAAATACGATTAAAATACTTCTGTCTGTTAATGACATTAATTAAATCTACAATAATTAGTTCACATAAAGGTTACAGATTAACAACTGACAATTGCTGCTTCAGGCTAACATGGCAGTTAATAAAGTTTGAAATAATTATAGTTCCTGTCAGTCCACTTACCTGAGTGAAGTTGATGGTGAAAATGGCATGGGAACGACTACTAACATCATTCATGCCTGTGGCTGCAGTGGTTCGATTGATGTTTCCAGCTTCCATTAGTTCTTCTACATCACTATAATTCTGGACCAGGTGCTTTGACAAATCTAATTGTATAAGAACAGGATACAACTTAGTTTACATTTCAAAGAAAACTACACTTTCTTGAACACTAGCAATCATGGCTTGAATTTGGGACAGAGACCAACAGACAATAAAAAATATATCTATCTTTCAAGACCCGCCACATTCTTGGAATGATGACTTTGTCAACACTATAAATAAAGAGTGGCTGTCCTCGTAAGCACTGTTTTCTGGAGAAAAAAAAACAAATAACTGACAATGACCACCTATGATAATCTACCAATGCCAGCTGTACGTATACTTGAAAGAACAAGTGGAAGAATATTATGTGGAAGAGGCTGTCTTTCAAAATAATGAATACCATAATAGATAGGTAATCTTTGATTTCCTCTTAAAATTTTATCCTCTACACAATTCTGTGCACTAACTCAGTAGCACCTAGAAAGAGAGAGGTCCTTCCTGAAGATGTTTATACCCCAAAGCCAGGATAGACGTGCTAAAGCTAGCTCCACGCACAACAGTTAGATTTAAACATAAAATCTGATTCTCATAATAAACTCATATATGATGCAAATAGGTAATTATTCAGCCTGCCAAATGTGGTCTTGGATACCCATTTATCCTCATACAGAGCCAGATCAGTTGCACGCAGATCACTAGAAGACATGCTGGTGGGTTGTCGACATTTGGTCAGGTCACACAGTTCTGTGTACAATTCTAATTGTTGCAAAATTGGGGTGCTGCCCAGGCCTTGAAGGCAGTGAAGAGGATGATCCCTACTGTTTCAGGATGAGCTGTGAGGAATAACTGAATAGGACAGGTCTTGAAAAGAGACATGATAGTGTAGTTGATAGAACTGCAGTTTAGTGACCAGGAGCTCAATGATTCATATTCCAGTTTGTACAGAGTCTGGTGTCAGATGGGGCTGCGTGGAAAGGCTAAATTATCCACAGCTTTGCCAGGAATAGGGAGGGTAAAACCAGCCAGAATTACAGTACCCTCTACTGGTACTGTGCATGTATGACAGCCAGATGGGGAGAGGGCAGTCTTGGCTGTAAGCCCCTCTACAGTCAAGTGCCTGCTGAAATTCACTGCCGATGCTCACACTGGCCATTTGGGCAGGGCACTGAGGGGCAGAGAGCAGAGAAGGATATGCCAATGGAGAGAAAGCCAATAGACTGAATACACATCTTTTTTAAAAAAATACATCTCAAACACCTTGCAAACGTATTTAAGATGCTAAATGGTATTCAGAAAATAAACCCAGAACAAATACTTTCAGATATACCAAAGTAGCACGGCGGGAGCGCTCAGGTTCAGGATTGTGAAGGATAATTTTAGGCAGAGACCAGAAAGTATTTCCTTTAGAAGGAATTGATGGAGCAAGTTAGCTGGAAGAATGGTTGCGATCACGATATTGGAACAGCTTGATGCTATAATAAGAGATGGTATTCTAGACAGATTAAATCAAATCAGCCGAAGGGCTTCTTCAACCTGACCTCTCGTGCTTTTCCAACCATACTAATGCAATACAACCAATAGCCAGAAGGTGGTAAATCATTTTATAATTACACAAAAGCCCCGGCTAGACAGATTTTTTTTGGAGGGGAGGATGGGATCCAGTCCAGCGAGCCGAAATTTCTGGCTAATTGTAATGTTAATACTGGTATCGGCATTTACTGCCTTTTTTCGGCACCGGCTTTTTCCAGTACCAAAAAACACGGCTTGCAGCAATATAATTGTTTGAATCCTGCAAGCTGAATTTTTTGCTGCAATCAGACTGAACGGCATCCTTACCTGGCCACTACGGAGAACGGTGAGGCAGGGGTGGAGGCGCCTGCGCTAAGGCGTTCGAATTTCAGATGGCCGGAGTCTGGTAAATCAGGGATTTACTGTAGTGAAATACGTATTAGTTGATCTTACCCTCTACATATGGACCATCTTTTGGATGTTCTCTTACTCTTAAATTGTAAGTTTTGGATGACTTTCTCCTGAGTAGATCCCTTACTCGTTCATTATAAATTTCCAGATAGCTGTTAAGAGACAAAAAAAAGTTAATTTTTAATACTAGAAATACATGACACTTTAAAAGGTTCATGACAAAAGTATATTAATAATCCTTGCACTTGATATAGCACCTTATCAAGTCGTTGAAATGTTTCGAAGCGCTTCACACAATATACTAAAAGTGAATTGACTATATTTTTGTGAGCAAAACATGGCAGCAAATTGCGCACAGGAGTGTCCCACAAACTGTCATGGATTGAGTGACCAAATTATAATTTTATTTATTTTGGGGGGAAGGGATTAGTACCTTTCAAGTGTGACACACTTTTGGTGATAAACTACTAATATTCTAAAAAGATTACATTACACAAGATAGTTTTAGGATACATTTCAACACTTAATAATCCTTACATTTGATATAGCACCTTTTACACCAGGGAGGACTTTTAAAATCGCTTCACAGGATATACTATAAAATGGAGTGTGTATTTTGCGGGCAAATATCTGCAGTGCGCAAATTGCGCAAAAATAACAAAAGGATCAAATAGGAATTAAGGCTTGAATGTACACACACTAATAAAAAAAAGTAATAAAGTCTGGGGTTACAGAAACGTAATGTGAATCAACAACAACCTTACAATTATGGAACAATCTTCAAGCAGAAGGGGTATATGTTGTGAATTACAAAAATATAACTTGTACATTATGTAGATAATGTAGAGAAGTGCATTATTATTGGCTAGGGATCATACAACAACTAGATAAAATGGCAGAAACAGTAATAGAAAATCGTAGTGATGATATGAGTAATAAATTAATAACTGAAACTTAGTTCAAGGTGAACAAACATACGCTTTGGGATGCTACCTGCGTGAAGGGTGCTATACAAATGTAAGTTGTTGTTATTATACAAGCTTTCTCAGGCAAGTAGGAAATCATAACATAATAATCATGGGACATTTCAACAACCACAATGACTACCCGCCACGGCCTTGCTCCTTCCTACATCTGTAACCTGTTACCCCCATACCAACCTGTCCACTTCCTCCGCTTAGCAGGCTGCGGCCTGCTCCACCTCACCCGCCCGACTCGCCCCACAATCGGTGGTCAGGCCTTCAGCCTCTCTGCCCCCTTTAGAACTCCATACAACGTTCCTTTTGCCTCCCTCCGTTGCTTCCTTCAAGTCACATCTCAAGACCCTCCTCTCTGACCACGCCTTCGTCCTTCGTCCACCCTCCCTACCTTCCACCTTCCTCATCCCAAACCCCCTGCTCGGGTCCAAATCCCTGACTATCCAGCACCTTGGGGCCTCCTCACAACGTGAAAGTTGCTATAAAATGTTTTAATGGTGTATTGTTTGTGTAGTATACAAGATATACTTGTATATACAAGTGTAATAACCGTATTTTATAGGTAAATCTGGCAGCTAATTTGTGTACAGCAATGTCCTACAAACAGCCAAGAAGTAAATGACCAATTTTATCCAGCAGAGTGTTGGCTAGACATAAGGAGAAACCCCTTTCTTTTCAAATAGTGCCATTGAATCTTTCTGAACATACATATGGAACTGCAATTTAACTTCTCATCTGAAGGCTGGCACCTCCAACAATGCAGCATTGAAGTGTCAACCTAGAATGAGTTCAAACACCTGATGTATTGCTTCGATCCACAATGTTTTGACTCAAGAGTCAAATGTGTTACCAACTGAGCCAGATTGACACAATTGAATGGGAAGCATAATTTCATAAAGATAATCAGCATTTGTCATAATACAACATGAAGTTTTTATTCAGAGGTTTACCAGAACTGGTTAGTAATCTGAATATAGGTGAACACAAGTTTAAATGATGATCACATAGTTCTATTTTACATGGTTAAGGCAACGTCAAAACTAAAGTTTATGATCAAACATTTGTGTCGTTAAAAGATTCAGGGAGGTGCAATTGTTTTTGAATATGGCATAATATGGGAACATAAACATTTTGTGCTGGCAGCAAGATGGCAGCATTGGGAATTGATTTTTCCACTTTTCCCCACTTTCTAGACACAATACTGCATCAGTATCAACTATTTCCATGTCAAATTAAATTGGCATGTCCTTATTAACCTGGGTATTACTTGGCTTCAATACCTAACAGTATTGAACTATTGTAAAGATTGCACTTCTCACATAAAATTCAGGTCCATCTCTAGATTAAAAATTACTCTGAAGGTAAGTTATCCCAAAATGTTACACTTGTACAGTATCATTAACAGGGACTTAGTATTATCTAGCCTATCCTTAACTGGGAAATGACATACAACAATGAAGGGATGAGGAAAAGATAGCTTGAAATAAAGTTTAAATAATCAAGAATCTTACCTAACTTCTGTGCGAAATGAAGCTTCATTCCATCTGGATCTCCCAGCTATTTTGGCATACAACCCTTCACAAATTCGAGGTATCAGGCCTGTGTCCCCCTGAAATAGAACATATAATTTGGATGGCACACGGTCTGGAAAAGATAGGAACATAGTAACAACATAGTAACCTTTTCAAGCAGGACTAGAGTATCAAGATTACCCACTCAATTTTCCAAATATTCCTTTGACACATTTATCTCACCATAACAAATCTTAGAATAATAATCCTTGCATTTGATATAGTGCTTTTCATGTCTTCTAGACGTCTCAAAGTGCTTCACAGAATATACTGTAAAGTGAATTGACTGTATATATCTAGAAATAGTCAGTGTACTTCATATCAATTAACTATAAAGCACTTTCAGATATTTTCTTTTGTTATAGATGCAATATTAATTCAAGCATATTATTATTAATTACCCCAAATTGTTTTAATTTCCAGGAACTTGTCTAGTCCCTTGATCCTTCACTTGTGCTTGTAATTTGTTCCAGCACAAGTAGTTCAACAATTTTCATCTACGTTGCAGGTATTTATAAGTGCTCCGAGATATGAAGATATAAGAGATATATTTCCGAGATATAAATGCAAGTTGCTATTCAACAATTCAGATTGCAATCATCCAAGTGCTCTGGGATGCTACCCTATGTGAGGGGCATTATATCAATGCAAGTTGTTGTTATTGTTAACTGGTTGGTACGAATGGTCTGTTTTATTGTCATATCGCTCTAGATATCATTCTGTGAAATATCCCTTTTTCTTTAGAACTGCGAAGCCAGTCATCAATGAGCTCCAATATGCTGTACATAATGGGAAAATGTTGATTTTTGCTCCAAGGTAAGTTACCAATTGCAACAAACAAATGCGTCAAAGAGAGGGGCTGAGCAAAGGCCAAGTCCTTTGATTGTGTTTGGCCTTTAGAGTAGGGAAGGAGTCACACTTTGTGCACGTGTAGAGAACTAGGACAACAACAGAAAGGGAAAAAAGAACAACACTACCAAACCTAGTTACAAATTTTTGAAATAAAATGAAGCACAGGGTAGTGAAGTTAGTAGTGATACAATATTATATCTTTTTCCATGTAACAAATTAAGTAATTTAATGGAAACCTGCAAAAAACATCAAACACTGTCATACCATACATATCTTACCGGATTTCCCATCATTGTATACGATTTGCCAGATCCTGTTTGGCCATAAGCAAATATGCATGCATTGTAACCTTCAAACGCAGCTTTAAGTACGTCATTGCCAAGATCCTTGAAAACCTGTATGCAAAAATACACAGATCCCATATGTCATCATAGATGTCAACGTGGCTCAGTTGGTGGTACTCTCACCTCTGAGTCAGAAGGTTGCAGGTTTAAGCTCCACATTGCGACTTTGAAGTCATAGTCTAGGTTAACACTCCAATGCAATACTAGAGGTTTGCTGTATGGTTGGAAGTACTGTCGTTTAGATATGAAGTTGAAACTGCCTATTCAGGAGGACTTTAAACATCCCATCGCATTAGTTGAAAATAGAAGTAAGTTTCTCCTGGTGTCCTGGTCAACAATCCTTCAGATAAAATAGGCCATTTGTTTCATAGTTGTCTGTGGGCTTTGTTGTGCACAAATTGGCGTTTGCCTACAAATACAGTCACTTTACTTCCCAAAATCCTGTGAAGCACTAAGAGACATTGTAACATCATAGTAAGGCACTATATCATAGACTTGGAAAAACAAAAATAAACCTATTTATTTCACAATAAAACCATCTATCACTATTCCATAGAGATCAGTGCAACTGATAAAAATCATAGTATTATTGGGCGAGTTTTCCAATTTAGTTTTGAAAGTGATTTTCAAAAATGCTATTTTTGTTACTCAAACAAGCAGATGAGACCTTAGATTATTATCTCACCCGAAGGACAGCACTCTCTCAGTAGACACCCTACCGATTGCGAGTTCAGGTATGATATAGGGCTTCAATCTATAATCATCTAACCCAGACAGCAATGTGCTGCCAGTTGAACTAAAACTAATGACTGGCACTATTTTTACTTCAGATTTCCTCTGGATTTTCATGATTTTAAAATGTTTCCGTAAAAAAGCAAATAATCCAGCATATAAAAACGTGATTTTTTTTGAGATGTCTGCACTGATCCAGCGAAACAAACAAATTTCTTAAAACAAAACAGAACCGATAGAGAAGTGTGCTGTTTAATGCACTCACTGTATTCATTCATATAGCAATCCTCTGGCACCATTATTTGAAGTTTTGCATAATGATCTCATAGTTTGTATAATGTATAACTGGTTAGTTTCTTTTGACAACTGAGACTTCTGAACACTGAGACCTCCTAACCCATTATCAACCTGTCTGCTGTCTCCACTCAGCCTGCTCCATGTCCCCTGCCTGGCCCACCATCGGCGGTCGGGCCTTCAGACTCTCTGCCCCCATCCTCTAGAACTCCATCCCAGATTTCCTTCCTCTCGCTCCTTCCTCTGCCTCCTACGAGGCATGCTTCAAGACCATCCTCTTCGACCATGCCTTCGGCCACCCTCCTACATTCTTTGCCATCCACCCTCCCTGATTCCAACAACCCCCCGCTCGGGTCCTAATCCCTGATTGTTCAATGCCTTGGGACTTCCTCCCAACGTGAAAGGCCCTTTACAAATGTAATTCTGTATTGTATTAATAATAATCCATACATTTGATATAGCGCTCTTCAAGTCTTCTAGACATCTCAAAGCACTTCACAGAATATACTGTAAAGTGCATCGACTGTAAATTTGTGGGCGAAACGCGGCAGCCAATTGCGCACAACAGTGCCCCGTAAACAGTCGTGGATTAAGTGACCAAATAATTATTGGTTTTTTTTGAGATTATTATCAGGCGTGTGGAGTAAGGAAACTTGCCCAATGTTTCGCCCTGCTGGGAATCGAACCCAAGTCTCTCGCTTGCGAGGTGAGCGCTCTAACCAATGAGCTACAGGACTTCTGAAGCTCCTGTATTAACTGTACAAGAGGGCTGTCATGTAAGTGGCACAGCCATTGCAGTCAGCAGTGCGAGAGTTCCTTAATTGGATATAGTCCTGTACCAAATTCAGCCAGTGCTCTACATATTATACAAGCAAATTCATGGAATACGAAGCAGACTCATTTATTTCAAAAATAACAAAACTTCATTTCTTAGCATTTCATGAAACTTTCATTGTTTATTTTAATTATGAATGCATTCAGCATGGAAAATAATTCAATAGTGTGCTGACATATTAGCATTCCAGTCACTAGGTTTACTGAAATGTCAAGTGTAGGAGTAATCATCTCAAAGGAATATATTGGACGTTAACATTCAGAGCCTTAAAAAATGTATACTTGGGATCTAGAGACATGGAGCTATAAAAATTACACCATACTAATTTGTTTTGTTGTGGTATCCGCTTACAACAGACATGGAACCAGTGTTGTTGTGTATTTGTGGGGGCTTCCCTCAGACTCTGGCTTATTGAGTCTATGCTGATAGGCTGATGCAAATAGAGTCAGAGAAATGTGAAAATTGACCTCATGAATTAATAATATCATTAAAGATAAGCAATGGACTGCCATCAAAAGGTGGCACTTGCTCTCCTGAGGCAGAGGGACGAAGGCAAACCATGTCTGCCCTATCATTTCAGCAGGTCAGCTGCTTCAACACAGGACCGGGGATCTAACTCAACACTTTGCTAGTCTGTGTGATTCAGGACCACAGCAAGTGGTACATTTAACCATGAACAATTGAGGAGAGTCAATACATGGGTCTGTACTATCTTTTGAGAACTCTACTAAATTAATGATGTGAGTATTACTCGCACAAGTTCACTTATTCAAGATCTTTGGGTGACAAAGAACATTTTGCACTGAAATGTGATTGGTTTTCCTTAGTGGGTGAGAAGCGGGTCATCTTCATACAACACACATTATGCTAATTCCACATGTGATCAAATAGCAACATTGGATACTTATATTTTGCCATTATAGGTGTTGAAATTACTCATAGATTCAACCATTAATGAACGTATAACCTTCAATACCATATTAAATAGAAATTGATCTTACTGTATTTTAACATCCTTTTAGTAGGACTCTGTTCCATGTGTACACAGCACTGGGAAAACAATTTAAACCTGCTGTTTCACTTGAAGTTAATTTTAGATACTCAGAGCGTGTGTGTGGTGTGTGAGTGTGTGTCACCGTGTGAAGGGAGGGGAGAAGGAATGAATAAAATAAAATGCATTTCATAATCATAATAAAGTACCTTTTCCTGAGATACAAAGTCGGGTTTCTTACAATCAGCAGAATAGTAAGAATAATCGTATGTAAATGTCTTTAACCTTTCGCGGCCAGAATCCCCTGAACTGCCCTCGGGCATCTGTAGCGAGGAAAAAATATATTATAGTAAGTTAGTGGTTTGCTGCATTTTAACATCCATTTTAGTTGGACTCTGATCCACATGTGCACAACACAAATTTAAAATTTGCTAACTTGTTGCCTTTTAAAACTTTTTTTAACAACTTCATGTAAATGTTTCAAAGAAATATCTATGTTATGTAGAATGGATCAAACACAATATTTGCAAAATCCATTTAGGAACACAGGAACAGGAGTATGCCAATTTGCCCATTGAGCCTGGTTACAATTTTCATAGGTCTTGGCTGATTTGTAACTTAATACCATTTGCCCATCTTCAATATCTTATTAAACAAATACTTATCTACTTTCCTCTTAAACTTTCCAATGTTGTGGAATGCTACCCTGCATGGGGCAATATATAAATGCAAGTTGTTGTTAAGCATTCTCCCCGACTCTGCATTGACAATCGTTTCAGGAATTGAATCCTACAATCCTTGAGTGAAGAAGTGGCTTCTGGTTCAACTAACGGGAAGTTTATGTATTATTTATCTATTTAATTATTTGATGTAGCAACTACAATTTTCAGTTTATTACTATTTGATTGTAGAATATGTGGCAAACTAATCATAAATCTCAAACTGACTAAATTGAACGAACACCATTAAGCTTATTACATGAAACAACACATACAGTAGTTTCAATCTCACAATCAAGTATAAATCGTTTAAAAGAGGTATACCTTCAAGTTTGTGATTGTCGTCTTGTTTCCTTCCATATGGATGATGAACTTGGCATCCAAGTCCTTTTCTCTACAGAAATAATTAGATGACAACATTTCCAGAATAACCTTTCATGAATTAATAAATCCAAAAATATAGATTTACAGTGAGTTAGCATATGATTGGTTGAATAAGGAAATTTGATCAAGCCTCAATAAACACTTAGTGTTTCAATCTTATAAATCCTCTGAATAATAATTCATTTTAACTCATCTCTAATTTCACCATTAACAACCATAAGACTATGTCCCCCTTGTCACCAATTCCCCACGTAAATTAAATAATTTTTCCTCATCCATCTCGTCACCCGTTCATTATTCTAAAATACTTGTAATATATCTCTTCTCAATCTCCTCCAATGGGAAGAAGGAAGAGTCCTAATTTAGCCAGGTCTCATCATATATTATAATATATACATTATTACATTTTTTTTACAAATATATATTGTTTCATAATCAGTATAAACTTAATTAAACATGAATCAAAATTAATTATATTACCACAATTTCTTTGCAGCACTCCTCCACTTACAGAAGAATCAACAGGATTCATATTAAACAGAGGGTTGTGTTGGCACTAACATGAACACCACAAGAACCTGCATGCAGTCACATGAAGAGTGGCTAAAATCCAAAACCTCATTCTCGGAGCATGAAAATATCCAACACAAGGTTGAATACCTGAATAAACATAAACTCTCATTTTGCTGACAACAGTTCAGTACAGAGCTCCAAGTCTTCATTATTCGGCAACTTTGGCTCTGAACTAAAAGCGTCACATGGTTCAGCACACATATCACCCATGTCCTGTTTGGAGGATGTACTGTTTTATAACACCGTGTCCTATTTGGAGGCTGAAACTATATAATACCCGTTTTAATTCTGGCAAATGGTCCAAACTCTTGGTTCAGTTGACATTGAAATGCTTCATCACGTGGAGAAAAATATACTCGTCTCACCCCCATTAAAGGCAGTGATACATACTCTTTCAAAAATCGATGAGCATTCCACAGCGTACTACAGATTTACCAGATTTAAAGGATTATATGTTTTGGTAGATCTATTAACTCACATAACTAATATGTTTTAAGTGTTATTACTGTATTGAAGAAGAATATTCATATCCGCCATAATGGAGTGGCGCAGTCATGTCCGGTAGATAACTCAACCAACAAATAATTGAGATTTGGGAAAGTATAAAATAGTAAGTTTAGCTTTTTAAAAAGTGCAGTTAAATTTATCTCATTTAGTTTATCTACAGTGGACACCCTTTCTTTCTTTGGATTATTTTCTTTATAATAATCGGTTCCTGCAATGAGATCCCTTATGGCAACAACAAGAAGTTATATTTATATAGCGCCTTTCACATTGGGAGGACGTCCCAAGGAGCTGGACAGTCAGGGATTTGGACCTGAGTAGGGGGTTGGGATTGGGAGGGTTGAAGGTCAGGAAGGATAGGGGTAGGAGGGTGACTGAAAGCGCGGTCAAAGAGGAGGGTCTTGAGACGTGCCTTGAAGTAGGCAAGAGAGGGAGCATGGTGAAGGGACTGTGGGGTGCAGTTCCAAGAGGTGGAGGAAACGATGCTGAAGGCCTGAGCAGCGATGGCGGTGGATGTGGGCAGACCAGAACATGCTGAGAGGGAACGGACAGGTTGATATGGCATTAGCAGGTCACCAAGGTAGGAAGGAGCAAGACCGTGGAGGGCTTTGAAGGCGAGGATGAGGATTTTGAACTCTATCCTCTCAGGGATGGGGAGCCAGTGGAGCCGGGCAAGGGTTGGAGTGGTAGGATCATGGAGCCTGGTGCAGGAACGGACACCAGCTGCAGAGTTCTGAATGAACGCAACAAACTGCATTTATATAGTGCCTTTCACATCGGGAAGGTGTCTCAAGGCGCTGGACAGTCAAGGGTTTGCAATGAAGAGCACAACAACAACTTGCACTTATATAGCGCCATCCACGCAGGGTAGCGTTTCAGAGCTCTTGACAAAGGTGGAGCTGGACTCCGAACCGGGGGTGGGTGGGGTGGGAGAGAGAGGAGGTGATCATAAGCATGGCTGAAAAGGAAGATTTTTAAGTGGGACTTGAAAAAGGAGAGAGGGGGCAAGGCGGAGGGATTGAGGGAGTGTTCCAGAGTTTCAGGGCATAATGGCTGAAAGTGCAACCTCCAATGCTGGAGTGGAGAGTGCGAGGGACAAGCACTGGGGAATGAGGAGGTCAGAGAGGTAGGGAGATACCAGGGAGTGAATGGATTTGAAAACGAGTGAGGATCTTGAAGTCGATCCGTTCGGTGATGGGGAGCCAGTGGAGCCTGGCCAGAACTGGTGAGATGGGAGTACACAGTTTGGTCCGGGTAAGTTTGCGGGCAGCAGAGTTCTGAACGAGCTGGANTTTTTTGAATAGCGGAGCTGGCGAGACCAGTGGGAATGCATTTGAGTAATCCAGGCAGGAGGTGACAGACGCATGCACGAGGGTTTCGGCTGCATTTGGGTAAAGTACGGTCGGAGTGGGCAATGTGGCGGAGGTGGAATAAGGTGGTCCTGGTCAGGGACTGGACGTGGGAGAGGAAGGACAGCTGGAGGTCGAACCAGACACCTAGATTGCGCACTTGTTCAGCAATATTGCATTCAAAGGGTTAAACTTGTTTCTTCAAATTCAAGGAGACAAGTGGGAGCAAAATCAGAGAGTTGGGCCAAATGCCCTGTTTCTACGCTGTACAGTCCATGTAATTCTCTATAAAATCCCAAGATTTAAATTTCCACACAGTATTGTACTTCACAACAGAAAAAGAAACAGCATATAGTTTTTGTACTGTATTCAGGACAATATAGAAGGTGGAACACAATTGAAGGATGTTAAAATGATGCTGATAAACTGCAACAATGTTTATAACATTAATATTACAGTTTATAAACAACATCCACCCCAGAGAGATTTTGCATTCTTGAAATGGACTACAACTTACAATTACAATTTTCTGTCTAATTCCACTTTCTGCACTTTGTTTTAAAGACACCTTGTAAACAAATCATGTGATTTGAACTGAGTGATAAGTTTACAAGAATCACTATTTCTCCGAAGAAAGTTAGGTACAATAAAATAAACCTGACAACACGGCATTTCAAATCACATGATTTGATTGTGAAAGCCTGACATCTGTTGTTGTCAACCAAAAGTCATTGAGAGCAAGGTGGAAATGAGTTGCAACAAGGTATACCCTGCTAACCTAATTCTGGAGAATATCAGGACCAGGTTGGCGAGAGTCTATATCTAAATCATAAAACTGTTACACATGTTGAGGTGTTTATAAATACACTTGAGATGCTGATATACATCTTTTGAAATGTTGATAAACATTCTTTGAGATGTTGACAAACCACCACCATTAACCCGTAGGAGTGAAGTTTTGATAGTTGATCAACATTATAAGGTTGAATTGCGTTTTAAAAAATTTATATTAGAGCAACAAATAATTTCCCTTTTAAAACAAAATACAAATGTGTACAGTATTTCTTCAGTATTTCTAGACGATTGGTCTAGTTTCCAATGCCATTTTTTTCTCACGAGCTATACAACCAGACTATAGATTCTTACAGTTTAAGGACATGCAGTTTTAGTAGCATTATTACAAAATATAGATTGAACAGCTTGGCTGTCTTGTCTTTTTGTATTTCAACCTTGACTGGTTTAAATCTTATAACTGATCAATAAATCGACAAATAAATAAATACTATATCCCTATGAAGACTGACAAACACAAAATAAGACAGAAGTATGTTTAGATTATATTTTACAGAACATAATGCAGTACTTGCAAATACAGTATCTAGATGTGGGGGAAAATATCCTGGAGTATTCCCTCAATAGCTAATGAACCTTTGTCAAATACAGAGTTTGTTGTGCTATAAATAGATGGAACAGATGTCCCTTTAAAGTTGAGCAAATATTTATTATAAAGTCTCTCACTAAAATCCTGATCCCTTTACACTCTGTGAAGATTCATCAGCATGTAGCACTTTGAAACAGGGGACTTTACCAAAATACATGATGTTGGTACCTTTTTGTTCAATAAAGTCAACTGTTAACAACATTTGATATAATTCCTTATCACATCAAAACGTCTCGAAGCACGTCAGATTGTTTTTCTGTAAAGTGTAGTGACTGGATTTGGAGATTAATGCGGCTGCAATTTGAGTACAGCTATGAAGTGAATCTTACTCAATGTCCCACTCACTTGATTGAGATGGCCAAGTAGCGAATGACAGCCAGTGAGACACTGAGCGAGAGGAGATTGCGAACTGTGGGAGAGTCTTGATCTTTAAAAAAAAATTATTTCACCCACAAAAATACACAATGAACCCACTTTACGCTATACCCTGTGAAGCACTTTAAGACGTCTCAACGATGTGGTAAGGCACAATATCAAATGCAAGGATTATTACTATACCGAAGGACAGTGACAGTGAAAAACTAAGCCGGTCGGGAGAAAAGTAAGACCCAGTGGGATAATAATAATAATTCCTGCATTTGAGGCAGCGCCTTATCATATCGTTGAGAGGTCTCAAAGCACTTCGCAGAATATACTGTAAAGTGAATTGACTATACTTTTGTGGGCGAAACGCAGCAGCCCAACGGCGCACAAAAATTGTCCCGCAAACAGTCTGGATTAAGTGACCCCACTGATTATTATATTTTTTTTGAAAAAAAAGGATTGATATTTTTTCGGAAAGCGATGGGCTGCCAATCGACTGACAAAACAGGAGTTTTAACTACTGTTACTGCTCGGCAAACAGAGGCGTCGTGAGGGCAAGGAAACGTCCCCAAGGGGTTTCAGCCTCAGTTTAAAGATACCGAGTGATAAGCCGGTGACTGTGAGCGAGTCTGGCTCGGGTGCAGGGAGTCCGTGATACTGATTAACAATCTATTATCATCATTATTATTATTATTATTATTATTGTTATTAACGTGGGCGCGACATTTACCTGAGGTTCATGGGTCTCACTCTGACCGCCACTCTCACTGATGCCATGGTTCATCACTTTCCAGCTCCCCCTTCCCTTACCCTCACTCCCTCACTCTCCCTCCCTCTCTCTCCCTCGCTCACTCTCTCCCTCGCTCACTCTCTCCCTCGCTCACTCTCTCCCTCCCTCACTCTCTCCCTCCCTCACTCTCTCCCTCTCTCTCCCTCCCTCACTCCCTCCCTCTCTCCCTCCCTCACTCTCTCACTCACTCCCTCTCCCTCCCTCACTCTCTCCCTCTCCCCCTCTCTCCCTCTCCCTCCCTCTCCCTCTCTCTCTCCCTCACTCTCTCTCTCTCTCTCTCCCTCCCTCACTCCCTCTCTCTCTCTCCCTCCCTCACTCCCTCTCTCTCTCTCCCTCCCTGACTCTCTCCCTCACTCTCTCCCTCCCTCCCTTTCCTGATTGCCCTCCCGGGTTACCAGACACCTCTACTCCGAGTCCGCGCGACCTGACAAGAAGGCGAGGGGGTTGCGGTGTCCCCGCTGGGGCCGGGCCGGGACAGGACCAGGACCAGGACCAGACCAGGACCAGGCCAGGCCGGAGAGGCTCGAGCGAGGCGAGCAGGAGCCGCGGCGCCTGTTCACATCCCTCTCCTCCTGCGCCTCCGCCTTCTCTGCCTCCAACCCATTGGGGAGGGGTGAGGTCAACTTTTTTTATATATATATATAATATATTATTTTTTTTGGGTAAAAAAACTTTCGAGGGAGGGGACGGGGGGACGCGACAACTAAAGCGATCAGAGAAAACGAGGGATTTTTTTTTAAAAAAAAGAGGGAGAGGGAAAGAGAAAGTGCCTTTCCTGAAAAATATAAACACATTAACTGACTGACTCCTGACTGACTGACTGACTGACCCCCAGGACCGCGCCTCACAGCGCCGCCGCCACTCCCTCAGTCAGTCAGTCAGTCAGTCCGCGTCACCTCCCCGTCCCGCCCCCACCGCAGCGCCGCGCCGCGGGGACGGCGCGTGCACCCGCTCCAACCGCCGCTCGCGACAAAACCAACCGCCACCTCTTTCCTCCTCCTCCCCCCCCCCCCACCTCCTCCTCCCCCCCTCCCACCCCCCCCTCCCCTCCTCCCCCCCCTCCTCCCCCTCCTCCAACCTCCCCCCCCTCCCCCTCCCTCCTCCCCCCCCCACCTCCACCTCCCCCCCTCCTCCTCCCCCCCCCACCTCCCCCTCCCCCCACCTCCAACCTCCCCCCTCCTCCTCCCCCCCCCACCTCCACCTCCCCCCCCTCCAACTCCCCCCTCCACCTCCTCCCCCCCCTCCCCCTCCCCCCCTCCACCTCCCCCTCCAACCTCCCCCCCCCCCCCCCCCCCCCTCCACCTCCCCCCCTCCAACCTCCCCCCCTCCTCCCCCCCCCCCCTCCACCTCCCCTCCCCCCCCCTCCAACCTCCCCCACCTCCACCTCCATCCTCCCCCCTCCCACCTCCTCCCCCCTCCAACCTCCACCCCCCCCCTCACCCTCTCACACAGACACACACAGGCTCTGGTAGGGTGACCATATTTTATTATTATTATTAATAATAATAACAACGACACTTAAGTTTGGACGTAGCGCCTTCTTCCCGTCGTGGAGACGTCTCGAGGCCTCGTCGCAGAACACAGCGCGAAGTGAATCGACTTTGCGCGTTTTGCGGGGCGCGGAACGCGCGCGGTTGGCAATGGCGCACAGCGGGCGGGCGTCCCGCCAGCAAGTGGCGGGTCCAGCGGACAAACTGTTAATAATAATAATAATAATCCTTGCATTAGATATAGCGCTTTTCACGTCGGGAGGACGTCCCAAAGTGCTTCACAGAACACACTGTAAAGTGAATTGACTGTATATTTGTGGGCGAACGCGGCAGCCAATTGCGCACAGCAATGTCCCACAAACAGTCGTAGATTGAAAATGACCAATTTATTATTGTTTTTGGTTTTGGAGGGATTATTATTAGGCTCTGTGTGGAGTAAGGAAACTTGCCCAAGGTTTCGCCCTCTGCCTGGAATTGAACTCAGGTCTCTCACTTGCAAAGCGAATGCTCTAACCACTGAGCTACAGGACTCCTCAAGAAGGTGACCAAAGGCGCGGTCGGAAAGAAAGGTCTTCGGCAGAGACCTGAAAATGACATGCATGGTGCTGTATTTTACAACGCTCCGATTTTGGTAAAGACCTGAGCTCAAAATCCTGAAATTGATTGCATCCGCAATCCTTAGCGGTGAGAGTGCCACTGACCGAACCGTTTCCGACGGAATGGAGCAGCAGCTCTCAGTTCACCCGATGCTTTGTTAAAAAAATATACCTTTTCCTCGTCGGATCATTTGCGTGCGTGAAAGTCTACAGAAATTGAGGATCTATAGCTATCAACGTTATTTTCGCTGTGATCATGGTTGAGGTGCAGCTGTTGGTTGTGCATTGGGAGGCTGGGGAATAGGAGTGGAGTATGGATTGTGGCGCTCGACAGCCGTTATAAAGGAGGCATTAACCCATTCAATAAGGGGATTCAGTGTTCCACTTTGAGAAAGAATCTGCTATATTTTCTAAGAAATCAGAAGCTGAATGGTTGAACGGTCACTCCATGTAGCCCCTGACACTTGCAGTTCATTTCCAGGGGGTGGGGGTTAGGGCTGACCTAACATCAGTGAAACGGATCTCTTTGGGCTCTTCAGGACTATACCGATTCACAACACTCACAGAATGGAACCGAAAGTGTACTCGCCTTTTCATGCCTTCCTTTTTAAAACATATTTCAATTTTGTATTTCTTCAGCTCAGTTTAAATACAGTACAGTTTAAATACAGTTTAAAAAGCGTAATAACGGAAGTGTATTTTTTATATAAAAAGCTCCTGATCAGCAAGAAAACAACAGTTTGGGTTTAAATGCAGTCTAACTGGGCACTAGACATGCTCTGTAGGGACTCTCTTCGTTGAAATCATCAGCGTGTGCCCATTTGATTCGTTGGACTAAATCTCTTCTGAGTTGTATAGACAGGGGATTTAAAGTACCAATTCATAAGGGAGTAGAAAAGAACATTTTAAAAGATAACCAGCTGGTACACACTAAGAGGTAAAATATTGTACTACAGAATTATCTACCCTTTTAGAGATACGTGTGAGCCAAATTATGGTTGGCATACAGAGAAATAAATACATTGATTCTCCAGCACTGAAACAGACCATTTGCCACCAATAGTCTGTGCTGCTGTTTATATTCCACATAAACCTCCACCCATTCTAATCCCTCACCCTTAACCTCTCCCCTCTTTGCCTATCCATTACCCCTCATGAATGCAGTGAGTTTCTCTTAAATGCATTGATGCTTTCTGGCAGGAAGTTTCACATTCTCATCACCTTTTGCGTAAATAAGGGAATATCTTAAATTTACACCCCTTGTTCTAAATTTGCCAACAAATGGATTCAATCTATTCAATCTGAATAGTCTATAACTGATAGCAGTAATTGCACATAAAATGCATATTATAATGTGAAATTAGCAGGTCAAAGAGTTACGTGAAAGAAATTGTAAGGAGGAAGGGTTACATTATATAAGTGAACAATTGCCTGCTTTTGATCTCACCTTTTTGTCTATGTGATAAGCTTTATCTGCATTAATATGTTGTACAATCTGTTCTTATAATATTTATTGAACACCGTATTTTGCCATTATATTACAAAGCCCGAAAACCACATCAATGGAAAGGCTCCATTGTAGTTATGGAAGAATTGCAGACAACTGATGCACAGTCCTTCAACCCACATTGAAACATCAATGTACTAGATCACATCCCTCCAATCGATGTCTTTGACATGTTTTCACGTCACAGCCCTTGATACAATTCTGTTACCATTGTTTATGTTGTCGTTTGAGTGTTTACTGAGGATACTGTAAGTTCAAACATGTTTTGTAGTTTGAAACATTTATTTTACAGCAACATCAGGCACAATGTGTGCAGCTTGAAATCAGCAAACAATTTTAAATCGCATTACATTGGTCATTAGTAGAAAGGATATTGATACATTGGACAGAGATCAATGAGGACATAGGGAAGGGATGATACCAGGACTTAGGACTCAAAATTACAAGGAGAGACTGAACTTTTCATTGGAGAAGGACTGATAGAGAGGGAGTGTGATCAGCTTTGAAATACAGAGAGGGATGAATAATATCGTTGCAACAAAGTTGCAGTCTTGGACTTGAATTGTTACAAATGATCATGCAACAAATAAAATAGATTGAATTTGTTTTTGTTTTCTTTGGTTCAGCTAAAACAGTTCATCCTGTTAAAATAATCTTCAGAATGTATCTGGTTAGGAGTAGGTTCAAAGCTGTGAAGGATGCATCCTGAAGAAGGCAATCAATTGCACAGCAGATAGAGCACAACTGTGAGACCAGGAAAATTATATGGTATAGTAAGGAGAACCCAAAAATGACAAATGAAAAAAATACAAATCTAAAATGGGAAGAAAATGAAATATAAATAAAAGATTAAACAGAAAGAACATTCAAAACTATGAAACGCTGAAAGTCCCAGCCAGGCTCCTGGGCTGCTGAGCGCTTCCTCCTCTGTTAATAAACTCTCTTTCATAAAGCAGGTCTGTCCCCACGTGTTAAGCATCGGTCTGACTACAATATAACTGAAGTGAGAGGAATAAAATAAAAAAGTTTCGAATTTGAAAATTAGACTTTTTCTTCAAACTAAAGATGAACATATATTTTTCTTTCACCTTGTATAATAATAATCCTTGCATTTTGATATAGCGCTTTTCACGTCAGGAGGACGTCCCAAAGCGCTTCACAGAACACACTGTAAAGTGAATTGACTGTATATTTGTGGGCGAACGCGGCAGCCAATTGCGCACAGCAGTGTCCCACAAACAGTCGTAGATTGAAAATGACCAATTTAATTATTGTTTTTGGTTTTTTTTTTTTTGGAGGGATTATTATTAGGCTCTGTGTGGAGTAAGGAAACTTGCCCAAGGTTTCGCTCAGCCTGGAAATGAACTCAGGTCTCTCACTTGCAAAGCGAGTGCTCTAACCACTGAGCTACAGGACTCCACATCCTAAGTATATTCAATAGGTTTGGGGCTATTGTACCTTCCTCCAAAGTTACAAAGCAATTACAGTAAAATTATTCTACCTGTACTTACCTGAGTGATGGGAGAGATGCATAAGAGCAACATAATAATGCAATTTGTTTGAGAAAAGCTTTATGTCCTGCCAAGACACTTTATTTTACTTTTTTTTCGGTTATACATAAATACAATGAACTGTGTGAGGCACTGCAGTGTTCTCTGAAATAAGATGTGGGAAACTCAGTATTTTTCAAAATTACCTTTTATATAAATCACTTACTCTCATTGTACCAGTGACTTCGAACAATTGTATATAAAAGCACCCTGACCAAATTTAATCTGCCAACTGTCAATCATTCTTATCTGCATTCAGTGGCTGCCTTTTTCTTACTACATTGAAAGAGCAATGCAATCTGTTTTGGTGAAATATTCTTTGCAAAAAGACACTAAAGAAAATTAAATTGTTGTGGATCCGAATAAGAACATCAGAACATAAGAATTAGGAGCAGGAGTAGGCCATTCGGCCCCTCGAGCTGCCCCGCCATTCGATAAGATCGTGGCTGATCTTCAGACCTAACTCTAATTACCTGCCCTATCCCCATATCCCCTAATCCCTCTGTTTTTAAAAAATCTATCAGTCTCAGCCTTGAAGATGTTCAAGGACTGAGCATCTACAGCCTTCTGGGGTAGTGAAGTCCATCAATTCACTACTCTCTGAGTGAAGAAATGTTTCCTCAACTCTGTTCTAAAAGGCTGACCCTTAATTTTAAGACTGTGACCCCTGGTTATAGATTCTCCTACCCGGGGAAACAGACCCTCAGTGGCTGCTTTATTCAGCCCTTTAAGAATCTTATATGTTTCAATAAGATCTCCCCTAATTCTTCTGCACTCTAGAGAATATAGCCCTAGTTTATTCAGCCTATCCTCATAGGTCAGTCCCCTCATCCCAGGAACTAACCGAGTGAATCTACGCTGCACCCCCTCCAGGGCAAGTATGTCCTTTTTTAAATAAGGAGACCAAAACTGCACACAATACTCTAGGTGCGGTCTCACCGAGGACCTATACAGTTGCAGCAAGACTTCCCTACTCTTGTACTCTAAACCTTTTGCAATGAACGCTACCGTTCGCCTTCTTAGTTGCTTGCTGCACCTGCAAACTAACTTTTTGAGACTGGTGTACAAGGACACCCAAATCCCTCTGAACACTAACACTATCTAATCTCTCCCCCTCTAGAAAATATTCTGTTTTTCTATTTTTTCTACCTAGGTGAATAACTTCACACTTCTCCACATTAAATTCCATCTGCCACCTACTCGCCCACTCCCATGGCCTATCTATATCCCGTTGCAATCTTTTTGCATCATCCTCAGAGCTTACTCTCCCACCTAGTTTAGTGTTATCCGTGAATTTAAATACGTTACATTCAATGTTCTCGTCTAGATCATTGATGTAAATTGTAAATAGCTGAGGCCCAAGCACTGATCCTTGTGGCACTCCACTAGTCACATCCTACCAATTCGAGAATGACCCGTTTATCCTTACTCTCTGTTTTCTACCCATTAGCCACTCTTCAATCCATGCTAATATGTTTCCATTAATCCCGTGGGCCTTAACCTTGTGCAATAGCCTTTTGTGTGGCACTTTGTCAAATGCCTTTTTAAAATCTAAATATACTACATCTACTGGTTCCCCCCTATCTAACCTGCTAGATACATCTTCAAAAAACTCTAAAAGATTAGTTAAGCATGACTTCCCTTTTGTAAAGCCATGTTGACTCTGCCTAATCTTGTTATGGTCTTCCAGGAATCCCATAACGACATCTTTAATTAAGGACTCAAGAATTTTCCCTACCACTGATGTCAGACTAACTGGTCTATAGTTCCCCATCTTTTCTCTCCCACCCTTCTTAAATAGTGGTGTTATGTTTGCAATCTTCCAATCAATGGGAACCATTCCAGAATCCAGAGAATTTTGGAAGATCAAAGACAAGCCATCCACTATCTCAGTAGCCATCTCTTTTAAAACCTGAGGATGTAGGCCATCAGGTCCAGGAGATTTATCAGTTTTAAGACCTGACAATTTACCTAAAACCATTTCTTTACTAATATTAATTTCCCCAAGTTGCTCGCTAACATTGTCTTCTTGGTTCCCCTCTATTCTTGGTAGGTTTTCAGTGTCTTCTAAGGTGAAGACAGTAGCAAAGTACTTGTTTAATGACTCAGCCATGTCTATAATTCCCTCCATCTCTGCCTGTAGCGGACCCTCATTTACCTTGACAGCCTCTTCTTTATATATTTATAAAAACTCTTGCAGTCTGTCTTTATGTTCTTCGCTAGTTTGCCCTCATATTCCATTTTCTCCCTCTTAATCACGTTTTTGGTTCTCCTTTGTTGATCCCTAAAGTTCTCCCAATCCTCAGATTTACTACTCATCTTAGCTGTTTTATAGGCTTCTTCCTTTAACTTTATACTTTCCCTAACTGCTCTAGTTAGCCACGGTTGGGCCACCTTTCCCGTGGCATTCTTAGTCCTCAAAGGAATACTTGCTCGCTGGGAATTTTGCACTATCTCCTGAAACGTCTGCCATTGCTGGTCTACTGTCAAATCCTTAAGTCTAATTTCCCGGTTTATTTTGGCTAAATCCTTTCTCATACCAGCAAAATTGGCTCTACTTAAATTTAAAACCTTTGCTTCGGACTTAACTACCTCTCTCTCTAACTTAATGCTAAATTCCATCATATTATGATCACTTTGCCCTAGAGCCTTAATTTCCAGTTTGCTGATCAGCCCTGCTTCATTGCATAAAACAAGGTCTAATATGGCCTGTTCCCTGGTTGGCTCCTCGGCATATTGATCTAGATGATTATCCCTAATTCATTCTATATATAGGTCAAGTGCAGGACCTTGTCACTGGACTGCCAACCAGGCTCCGTTGGTAGCACACTTGCTTTTGCATATGAAGGCTGTGGGTTCAAGGCCCACGATGGAACTGAACTCATATAGTCTAGGCCAGAGTTCCCCAACAAGTGGCCCACGGGCCGCATCTGATCCTTGGGCCCTCCATCCATCCATTTCATCTGGCACACCCGCTCCCTCCATAACCCGTATATGTTATGTTTCTGGAAGGGAAACATAAAAATATTGCTTATGCGGTCCTTGGACATATCTCAAATAGGGCATCAGGCCCTCAGCAGCCGAAAGGTTGAACCAGAAGTTTAGATGCACTATTGTTTTAAAAAAAAAGCATATTTCGCCCAGTGGTTGATTAATAATCTCGTAAATAAAAGTTGATCATTCACTTCATGGAAGTTTGTAGGACATTGCAGCACACATTTTGGCTGCCATGTTCACCTACAAAATACACAAGTCACCTACACCACAAAGTACACCACCCATCAAATCCTGTGAAACACTTTGAGACATCTTCCCGAAGTGAAAGGCGTTGTATCAAATGCAAGAATTATTATTGTTTTTACCTTGCAGATGGTAAATATTGTGGTTATAAAATAATTCTAATTTTCAGTAACAGTTGCAATCAGTAACGGTTCCTTTCACCGAAGCATTGAGCATTTTGCTGTTAGGAATAAGTATCAAATACACTTAGATTTCAAACAAATCTAAACTTTCTTGTGCAATTCGATATACCATTCTATGTATAACTCAATGAACCCCACAGGACTATTTTTAAAGTTTGAAGTTTTAAAGATATTTTTCTCTCTGCTGGCATAAGGAGATATGTGCATTTGGCTACTTATCCAGACTGAACAGGAAGTTTGAAAGTTGGCAGTCTGCACAACTTTACATTTATAAACACTCACAACTTTAAAAATATTTGCTTTTAATGAGATTTTAGAGATTGGCAAATTGTTTTCCAGAAATTGGCAAATTGTTAAATTCAGTCTTAACTTTGAAGACAGTTTTCTGAAGTTTTAAGAGAAAGTTACAGAAAAACAGCTTACAAAAATCAGGCTGCGAAACTCTGGATGTTCTGAAAACGCTATGTGACTAGAGTAATTCTAGCCCTGGGTGGAATTTCCCCTCACCCGTTTCTAGGACAGTGTGTTGATTTACCTGTTTCTTGGCATGGCATTGATAGAAAATGTTTGCTTTCTGCTTTGGAAGGAGAAGATTGCAAAGGCGGGCAAGGAGTGAGGAGCGATTTATTTTCGGTAAACTCAAAGCACATAAGAGGAAAGAAAAGGACGTTATAGACTAAAATGGCACAGCTTGCCTTCTATCTGTCTATTATTTTACTGGTGTTCCTGCAGGCGGTAACAGCAGATTTCATGGACAGACTTGCAGAAAAAAAACTTTGCGTCGATGAAGAATGCATCTGTAAGTAGATTTTATTTGATTTTCAGGAAGGAAGCCTGAAATAATATTTAGCTTTCACCATGAATATTCATTACTACTGCTAAACACTGTTGATAGATCATCTGCTTTTACATTGCTTGTAGATTTATACTTGCTTCAAGCCCCACATTGGGACTTGGAATACATATAGTCTAGGCTGACAGTCCAATACAGTACTGGGAATGTGCTGCATTGTTGGCGGTGTGATGCATTTCTGATGAGATAAGGCTGCCTGTACAGGTGGAGCTCACAGTTGAGATTGACACTGCAATACAGTGCTAGAGGACGCTGCAATGTCGATAGTACCATCCTTCAGACAAGACGATACACCAAAATCCTGTTTGCCTGATCAAGTGTTAAAGATCCTGCTATTCAAAAAGAGGAGAGAGTTTCTCTCTGTGTCCTGGTCAACAATCCCCCAAATAAAATTGGTCATTCATGGATGTTTGTGGGACATTGCTGTGCGCAATCAAATTAACTGCCATGTTCACATTCAAAATGCACAACACTTTGCAATATAGCCTATAACACTTGAAATATGAAAAGCATCATATCAAATGCAATAATTATTAATTATTATTAGACCCCTATATCTATATCCTTCTCTCTGATATAGTGAACATTCATTTCCTAACATGTAGGAGCGATTTTATACAGGCAATTTTTTTAAAGTTCATATTTTTTTACTGTGGTTGAAAACGCTTGGCATATTACTTAGACACTTGTGGTCAAGTGAAATGAATGTTTTGCTCTTCAGATGTTATCTCCATTGCCCAAGTAATGGATGATTACATTGCACCGGACTGCAGGTTCCTCAACCTCAGGCGAGGACAGCTGTTGTATGTGTACACCAAACTGGTGCCGGAAAGCGAATCTGGTGAATTCTGGTCTGGCAGTGTAAGTAAACGTATCTTTAGTAGAAATGTACTGTAACAATCTCTGCAACATGCGAGTATGCTCCTCCTGCCCTTTTCACTGAATTGCTTTCCACATAACCCATGTCCTGTCCTCTGAGATGGCACACGACTCATCTGGAATGGGTTTGGGCTAATTGGTGGCTACAACAATAACAATTTGCATTTATATAGTGGCCTTCATGCGAAGCAGCCTCTCAGAGCTTCAATCACATTGGAGGCTAGACTGTGTCTGGAAAGAAATGCACACACTCTCTCTGGAAGGACACACCCTGCTAACCTAATCCCGGAGTGTATTAGGCACAGGTTGGTAATAGCCAAGGTTTGGGGAACTCCAGAATGTGTGTTGGGGTACTACTGGAGTTTAACCAGATAACACTGCACAGATTGCCATTAATTGCCATTGGCAAGCTTCTTGCAGCTGATAACCTGAATTATCCTAATTATTAACCATAGTTTGCAGGGTTAACAGGAGCCAGGTGGGAAGAATTTCTCCCCCCAGTGACCAGTCTATTGCTCTAAGTCCTGCTGATGAGATCAGTTGGTTGGTTAATCCAGCAGTGCTCTGGAGTCCTAAGGCTCTAATGATTTCTTTTTTTTTTTCTTTCAGATTTACAGTACTGATGAGTATGTGGACCAGATGGGTATTGTTGGTTATTTCCCCAACACTACGGTTGAAGAGCAGCACGTTTTCCAAAAAGCAAAACTACAAATTGCTACAACTGTGAGTGAGCTATCAAAATACTTTTCCTTAATTTCTGGGGTCCTCTCAAAACTGCCATAATTCTATTAATAAAAATTGATGGTAATATTTCTGTACAGTAGTCGTGGATTCATAACTCTTTAAAATGCATCTTTCTTCTTCCCTGCGTGTCTCTGATACCATGCATTGCTGCCTGCCTGAAAGGCCTGCATTTGTAAGCTGGTGAACTACAAATGTTGCTGCTAATGTTTTCCTCCTACTCTACAATGTTAACAACAAAAGCCAGTGAGACTTTATAGCATTTTAATTAGGTGCAGTAAAACTGCACTGACATGGAATTTGTTTGAGCTGTTCATTTTTACGGTGCAATGTTATTAACTATTGTTGGATAAGGAGAATGTTTAAAGATGTCATGATTGATTGGTTTTATATTTTAAAATTTAATGGTTCTTTTTTTATTTCCATTTAGGCTATTGATTTTTTCTGTGACTAATGATAATGATCCAGGCATCAATCTGTGTGATAAAAGGTGTACAGAACTTAATGGAGAGAATCCATTGAGCGCTGGATTCTGAGAGATATTCCTTTTCCATATTTCAACGGTATAAATATGAATGTACAACATAGACTGAAGCGTAGGAAGAAAGAAAACCTAAGTTCTTTGCAATCACGTGCAGTCCTTTTGATGAAAAGTTAAACTAAGATCCTGGGTGGACGTTAAAGATCCCGTGGACCTACTCGAGAAGAGAAGGGAGTTTCCAACTGCTTGTTGGAAAACAGTCCCAGGATACAATGAAGTTATTCACTTCAAGGCGGTTTCTGGGACATAGAAAACCAAAACAGAAGTCGCTGAGAACACTCAGCAGGTCAGGCAGCCTCTATGGAGAAAGGAAAGTGAGTCAACGTTTCGGGTCTACAACCGTTCATCAGAACCCTTCGTCTTCCAGCATCTGCAGTATTTTGCATTCTGGGACATTGATGTGTGTGATGTTGGACATTGGCTGCCGTGTTTGCCTAAAAAATACACAGCCACTACACTTTACAGGAAAGCCTGTGAAGTTCTTTGACGTATCCTGCAAAGTGAGAGGTGCCTATCAAATGCAAGACCATTATTAATATATTCTTACAGCTACTGGAACTTGCTTAGTAAAGTAATTAGGTATTTTCCTTACCAGCGCCTTGGGATGTCCTCCCGATGTGAAAGGCACTATACAAATGTAATGTTGTTGTTGTTGTACATGGAGTAGCTGCTTGTACAAGTCTGCTTTCTCTTCATACAGCTATGTCTGTATTGCTTGAAATAGGTATTTTATAGATTCTATGTTAACTTACAGACTGAAGTACAATGGAATCCCGTTAAATAGTATTGGGCATATGACTAAATAAATTACATTTACAAGCATATGCTGGCGTCTAATGTGTGATGAATGTTAAATGAAGGTTCCCTTGTTTAAGGTAATGTAATTCGGGTCTCAAGGAGCATCATTAAAAACTTCAAAACGTTTAAGATCTATGTTGCCCTCTCACCAACTAAATGCCTCAACATAAATATAAAATGCGACTTTTGTTTTATGAACTAAAAATGTCAGTTATGGAAATAACTTGCAAATATTGTATTATGTCACAATTCTCTGGAAACTTTGCAAAGGACAGTTGTTTTAAAGAATCCAATATGAAACTCTGTCTGAGGTTGTTAGCCTAGTCTTGGTGACTGTCTAGGCTGACACTCAAGTGCAGTGTTGGGAGAGTGCTGCAATGTCACATGTGCCATCCTTTTGTTAGGACATTAAACCGAGGTCTTGTCTGCCCGTTCGGGTGAATGTTAAAGATCTCATTGTACTATTTGAAAAGAGAAGGGAATTTCTCCTGGTCTCCCACTCTAAAACCCCCTAGATAAAATCGGTGGTTTATGATTGGTTGTGGGACATTGTTGTGTGCAATTTGGCGGTCAGGTTTCACCCACAAAATATACAGTCAATTCACTTTACAGTATATTCTGTGAAGTGATGTGATAAGGCACTATATCAAATACAAGGTTTATTATTATTTATGCACTACTCAAGTTCTAACCACTGGAGCACATTGGCCCATTTGACAAATTTAGAATAGTTTGGGATTTGGTTATATAAAAAAGTTTGGATTATAACATGATTAAGAAATCTTTATCGAATATTGCATACACCCAAAAGCCCTTGCATGGCCTAATTAATATAAACAAAAGTGCACTCTCCTCGTGTGGTCAAATGTGTGAGAGAAAATTATTCTAGGGAATAGAGGGCCATTGTCTGCTATTATTATTAATCTGTACAACTGGCACTGAGTCCAGACATGGTTAGCATTTGGTGGACATTGCATACTGTTGACGTCAATTGCACAAAATTAACACAGGAAGACTGAGAGCCATAAACTATGAAAGAAACAGAGGTCTTTGTTCTGTTTTGTTAAGACATGATTAGGTAGCACGTGGCAATGTATAAAACAAAAGCACTAATAGTGGTTGACTTTTCATCAAAGCAAAGTTCATACTTTATAAGATATTTCATTTATAAAATCCTTCCTTTTTTTGCGAACTGATGCAAAACGTGAAGAGAAGAAATGGGATTATACAATGAAAAGTTGTCTGGTTGAGGCAAAGCTACAATACTCAATCAAATAATGTAAGCTTCACAGATTGACATAATAGCAGAGCCGTGTTGTTTCTACTGTTGTGTGCGCTTCAGAAATAAGAGCCGTGAACCACTGCTGGCACTGTACAACATTCAGCTAATATTAACTGCTGTGTTTTCTACTTAAATGCTGTGAGCTATATTTACATTCCAACTCAAAGGTGCCAGCCTTGCTCAGTTAGTAGCATGCTCACCTCTGTGGCAGAAGGTTGTAGTTTCAAGCTCCACGTCGGGGTTTGAGCTCATTATCTTGATTGCTACATTTAGTGCAGTGCTGGGAGTGCTGTTCTTCGAATGAGATGTGAAGTTGAGGCTCTTTCTGCCTGTTAAAATGGATTTTTTGGCATTATTTGAAAAGAGGAGATTTTTCTCCTGGTGTCCTGGCCTACAGTCCCCAAGTAAGAATTGATTGTTTCATGGCTATTTGCAGGACATTACTCTGTGCTGCTGCGGTCGCCGACAGAAGACGCAGTCACTAAACTTCACAGTAAAACGTGTGAAACCCTTTGCGATGCCATCCTGGTATTAATGATACTATAGCAGATGTAAGGATTATTATTATTTTAGTTTAGAGGGAATAAACTTAACCCTTGCTGTGACAATTATCACCAGTCTAATTAGAATCCCAAATCCACAAATTCTGTCTAAATCAGTCAATAAATAGATATGAAATTCCAGGAATTGGATCTTGTAATCAATGAAAATCTAGTATTTGTGGATAGGAGAGGGGCTGGTTTGGTCAGACATTAAACAACCATTTCTTACCACTTTTCAGGTCAGTGCCTTAAAGCTCTGCCACCACAATATCAACACTCGATAAAAGTGATACATTTTGATAAACTTTCTCTACTGCGAAAAGTTTATTTTGGTTGGTCTAGAAGACACAGGTATTCCAATGCTGCAAAATGTTGGCACATTGTTTTAGCACCATCTGTTGACAGAGTTATGTTATTTCATTCCAGGTCTAAAACAAAAGGGAATAAATATAAGTAAAGAATGAGAAACAAGCTACGGGTAGACACACGAGACTAAAGCAAGACTAGTCAAAGGGGACCTTATAGAGATATATAAAATATTAAGCCCAGAACAATACTTTAAGGTGCACCAAGGCAGCAGATCAAGAGGATATGGGTTTAGAGTTGAAAGAACAATTTTGAGACGGACACTAGAAGTTTTTCTTCACTCAGAGGCTAATTAACGACTGGAACGGGTTGCCAGGAAGGAGAGGTGAGGCCAGGATGTTGGACTCATTTAAAAAACAGCTTGGTGCTGTGATGGTAGGATGGGTTTTCTGGAAGGAAGAGATGATGAGATCAAATGGGGCGAGGGGTATTCTTAATAAAGGACATCCTCCCGATGTGAAATGCGCTATACAAATGTAATTTTGTTGTAGTTAAAACAGACCTTGTGTATAAACATTTGATTGGGTGGAGAATAACAAAATCACAAGGAACCAATTTCATAGAAAAAATAATAATAATGCTTGATGTGATATAGAGCCCCATCAAGTTTTCGAGATGATTCAAAGCACTTCACAAAATACACTGCAAAGTGAATTGACTGTTCATTTTGTGGGTGAAACTCGGCAGCCAATTGAGCACAGAAGTGTCCCAAAATTGTCGTGGACTGAGTGACCAAATTTTTATAACCTTTTTGAGTTTGTTTTTCTCTGAAGGGATAACCCCACTGAGTACATTTATTTCCCAGAATTTGTGAAGCTGTATACAATTGTGGCATAAACCAATTAAGTCCAGTCTATTATTATAATAATAATAACAAGAAGATGGAAGTCCATATGGAGTTCAGACCAAAAATAACCCACACCTCTGGAGAAAGAAAATCATATATGTCTCTTGGGGGAGAAAAATGTTTAATAGCACAAAACATAACCTGCAGTATTAGTACTGGCATGTTTTTCCTGTGGTCATCAAGTGAAATTCATTTCACTTTTAATCACAAGTAATGGATACATTCTGTACACAGAAGATTATACGGTCACATGTGCCTCTCAGGTAACCTTGTAGTAAAGGCAGAAAACTGATCAGGCCAGACGGTTTCAGGTTGGATTCTGCTCTGTGCTCTATGCATGGAATGCATGGAAAAGACTATTATGGTCCATCTGGGTTATAGTGAATCACTTTTGAGACATCTTCCTTTCATAAACGCTGTCCTCCTTTTATGAATGCCGCTATATCAAACGAAAGAAGAAAGGTGGATTGGTCAACGGTGTCAAGACTGGCGGGTCTCAAAGAGAGAATGGTGGAAAAGGACCATAGCCCAAAGGTGATTACATCTTATACTTTGTTAGTGGTAGGGCAGGTCAGAGATGGGGTGATGGAGAGGTTTCAGAGATAAAGGGTCGGCATTTTGAGAACGGGGTTTGAAAGAATGGTGTACGTTGTTGCAGGAAGATAGGGAGAGGTTAATGATGTCACCTAACACGAGGGATCAAGGAGGGGTAGGTGGCTAGTCAGGAGGTAAAGGGTCAAGGGCATAGATGGGTTTCAAATGAGGATAGAGACAGAGAGAGACTAGGGTTGAAGGTGTCCAGTTACAGAGACTGGTATTGAAGGTGCCCAGTTTAGAGGGATTGGGGGCAGGTGAAGAGGGGCAGCGAGAAAGAGAAGGGTGGGAGAGGTGTCAATGTCTCACTGAATAGACAAGACCTCAGTTTATTGTCTCATCGAACCAGCATCATACCAATACACTTGGTAAGGGGGAATAAAGAGCCTGAGGGTGTTTAGGGCTGTGGTGAAAGCCAGTCTCTGGCAAAGGTGAAAGCTGAGGCTGTCAGGCAGTTGCTAGGATAGTTGTTAGGGACTTTGTTTTGCTTTCTTAGCAGTGTTGGAAAGTATCACCCGCAGAGACTGAGTGACAGCAGCTGGAGAGAAGCAAGAGGCAGGGCGGACCCAGCAAACATAGCCCCACACTCGCCGAGACTGGAAACCAAAATCACACGACGGTGAATTACAAGTTGACTTTTCCTCTGTTTCTCTCTTCCTCTCGCTGTTTGTCTCCTTGCTGGTGGGGCACTTTTGTTTCGTGCGTTTCATTTTCCTCATCTGTCATTGCTTGCTTGCAACTGTTGAACTGTTCCATTTTTAACCACTTAACGAGAGCACCAGACTTACCGATTGGTACTCTTTTCAAAAAAGGAAATAATAGTTTTATTGTTGTCAATGTTTTTTCTGCCCTTTTTCTCTTTTTATAAAAAATAGTGTCAGCCTGGCTGAGGTCCCATCCACCTGTTCAGGTGGATGTTAAATTGCATTTACAGAAGTCCTGGCTAACAATCTTCCAGATACAATTTAATAATCCCTCCAAAACCAAAAACAATAATAAAAATTGGTCATTTTCAATCTGCGACTGTTTGTGGGACATTGCTGTGCGCAATTGGCTGCCGCGTTCGCCCACAAATATACAGTCAATTCACTTTACAGTGTGTTCTGTGAAGCACTTTGGGACGTCCTCCCGACGTGAAAAGCGCTATATCAATTGCAAGGATTATTATTATTCATTTCATAGCTGTTTGTGGGACAACTGGCTGTCTTGTTCACTTGTAAAATACAAAGTTACTGCATTTTATAGTAAATTATGTGAAGCTCTGTAAGATATTTTAGTACAGTATTAAACTAAGAACCTACGAATCAGATAAAAAGACTCCATGTGATGAGTAGAAACTAGAGCTTTAGAATATTTTAGGAAAACTGGTAGAAGAGGAGCTGTACTTTGCATGTAATGCACAGTGAATGATGATTGGAGCTATAATTGGGTGGAAAGTATTGTACCATGAGAATATAGTATTGACCTATAAATAAGATATATGTTCCTCAATGTCCTCCTAACTCTCCCTGTGGTAACACAGAACATTGAGTATGCACTTCATTGTCAGTATAAGTGAATGCTTTTAAGAATCGCGGATAATCACGGGTAATATTATAAAGTACCGAATGAGTGGGAGTTACTGAAAAATCAAATTGGGCATTGCCAAGAATTTAAATCTTAAAATTGTTTTGAAGAAATGTTTTTGTTGTCGGAAAATAAAACAATAAGCTTATTCTGAGGTGCTTGAAAAGTATACAACAAGATTTCTCTGAGAAAAGCACAGAGTTGTAATGTGCACAAAACCAACAGTGGATCTTAATTCCCTAAGTTAAATCTTGTTTAAATTAATTGATTGACAAGATAACAATAATCCTTGCTCTTGATATAGAGCCTTATCACGTCTTTGAGATGTCTCAAAACGCTTCACAGAATATACTGTAGCATGAATTGACTGTATATTTTGTGGGCGATTCAAGACTTGGGGATCCCAGAGTGTGCATTGGGGTGACTGCCGGAATTTAACCACCTAAACCCACATAGCTTGCCAGCTAGGTTTTTAGAGATTGCTTGTTCACCGCAATATCACTTTGTATGCATGTTCAGATCTTCTCACCCATAACACATTATACGATAGCAGGCTTTACAATATATTCTGTGAAGTGCTTTGAGATGTCTAGAAGATGTGATAAAGCGCTATATCAAATGCAAGGATTATTATTATTGTTGAAATTACTCATAGAGTTGGCCATTAATGAACTATTATGTTGCATTGAATATTTTATCACCTATAATCCATTCTTATAACCTTCAATACCATATTAAATAGAAATTGATCTTGCTGTATTTTAACAACCATTTTAGTAGGACTCTGTTCCACATGTGCACAACATTGTGGATAATCAGAGCTTGGGTTAAATAACCTTATATATTTGTGTGTGTGTGTGTGGGTGGGAGGGGGGAGGAAAAAGTAAAATAAAGTGCATTTCATGATTATAATAAAAATGTGTATGTGTAGGCCCACAAACAGCCAAGAAGTAAATGACCTGGGGGATTGTTGGCCAGGACACCAGGTGAGAGAAACTCCTTTCTCCTTTTGAATGGTGCCATGGGCTCTTTATTGACTACCTGAACATACAGAAAGAATCTTGCTTTAATGTTTGAACTGTAGTTTGACATCATACGAAGCGGTAAGGCTGCCTGGACAATTGGCAGTCGGAATTTGCTGTATTCAAAGTCGAGTCACTTGTGTATTCTCTCGCTCTCTCTCTCTTGTTCACAAATGTCATTTGTTGGCATAGAAACAACACATCCCGAAAATATAAAGGAACATTTTGTCTCTGAAGACAAGCAGACGTAATTTCCTGCTGGTGAGCAACAAGCTTCAAAATGCAGCACAAACGACCGGACTGGAACCTAGGACCAAAGTGCACGCCAGGAACTTACCTGGGAATGGTAAATTTCATTTCCTGTGGTGAAGCAGACGAGTGCATGTGTTTATTATGTGAGACAATGTAATAGATATTGACATGGCCAGAAACTAACTACCCGTGGCGTGGTTAGAACGCTCACCTCACAAACTGGAGGACCCGGGTTCAATTGCAGGGCAAAACCTTAGGTAAGTTTCCTTACTCCACACGCCTGTTTACCTTGCAGTAAATAGGAACTCAATTGTTAGTCGATTGGTGGATCGCTTTCCGGAGGTAATAATCCCTCGAAAAACAAATAATCCACCACTGTTTGTGAGACATTGCTACGCGCAATTGGCTGCGGCATTTTATAAGGCACTATATTAAATGGAAGGATTGTTATTATTACCCTCAATACACAACAGGGTTTATTTTCTGTTCAATCGATCTGCCAAAAAATGTGTTCTGATTTTTTAAAAATCCATTTATTAATATTTAACTGTTTATTGAAAATATTCAGAAAATGTAAAGTTGGAATGAGTAATGAAATGTTTGTTGAGGGCATTTTATTGTGAACCAAAGCAGGTTATTATTAGTCTGTGTGATCATCGCTGAGGCCGCATCTGGAACATTTACACAGTTTGTATCTTATATTCAAAAAGGTTATCAACACCTTGGAGAATAAAGCCTCCATTCTGGGATGTAGTGCTCAGGGGCTACCCAGAGGAAGAGGCTTTTCAGAGCACGTCCTCATTTAAACTTTGAACTGGGCTTAAAAAAATTAATCGCTTGATCTTGAAGCTCTGCAATTGTGCATCTCGATGCATGTTCAGCTGTCTTTCCTCCCCTACATTCATTCCCTGACCCATACTGCTTTCTCCGCCTCCTGTCACATTGCCCACCAACGCCCCTATATCACAGCAATTGGAAACAAAACCGTCATCCATGCTTTTGTCACGTTCCGCTTGGTTTCTCGATCCACATACCTCATTGGTCTCCCCAGTTGCACTGTCCACAAGGTCCAGCTAATACAGTACTCTACTACCTGTATCCTTGCCTGCACCAAACTCTGCATGTTCAATAACTTTATATTAATTGAAGGTGCAGTAGAGTAATATGAGCTAGTTTAAGAGTATTTATGAAATACTAGATTAAACAGAAATTAAGTTAGTTCAAACATTCAGTGTTGTAATAATAAAAATAATAATCCTAACATATTTTTGTATTTTCCTTTGTACTTATTTTCTTAAAAAAAATTTCCTTGCATTTGATATAGTGCCTTATCACGTCATCAAGACGTCTCAAAGTGCTTCACAGAATATACGGTAAAATGGATTGACTGCATTTTGTTGGCAAAGTATAGCAGCCAATTGCGCATAGCAGTGTCTCACAAACAACCATAGAGTGAGTGACCAATTTTATTTGGGGAAATTTTGGCCAGGATACCAGGAGGACAGTACCATGGGTTCTTTAACATCCACGTGAACAGGCAGGCGGGATCTTGGTTTAACATTTCATTTGAAGGGTGGCACCTCTGGCAATGTATCACCCCTCCCCAGGCACTGCAATGTAGTGTCAGCTGCGGTTCGAAGTCCCGATGTGGAGCTTGAACCCGCAATCGTTTGACTCAGAGGTGAGAATGCTACCACTGCGCCAAGCTGACAAACGCCAACCCTTAAGCTTCTTAATTTTCTTAAGCTTTTAGGGACCTCCTCCTGGTGTAAAAAGTACCAATTAAATGTAAATGTGTACTATATTCATTTTGATTTTAATTTCTGCCTCTTTCTCAACGCTTTGATGGCAGGTTGATGTCTCAATCCTCTTCATTGGTTTTACTGTATAATATAGTAATATAATTATACTACTATAATTTTCCATTGAGTTGGAGTGGCATAGACCAGGGGTATCCAACTGGTCGATCGTCTCTAGGTGGCGTTCTCACTTATGAAATAAAAGACAACAGGAAGTTGTAATAGAACTGCGTTTTATTTTAGATCAGTTGAAAACAAAGCCAGATACACAAAGTATTTCATGCATCTCTAAATAAAAGTATAAACTTTATTGTTTAAATTGCGGTAAATATCGCTCCTTCCTGTTTTTATGGTTCTTGCACCTCCGACGCATCGCCCGCCTCCCCCAATACTTCTCTCCAAAAGCCGCTGAAACCCTGGTCCATGCCTTTGTCACCTCTCAGCTGGACTATTCTAACGCCCTCCTCGCCGGCCTCCCATCCACTACCATACATAAAATCCAGATCATTCAAAACTCTGTCGCCCACATTCTCACCCGCACCAAACCCCGCTCTCCGATCACCCCAGTCCTTGCCAGACTGCACTGGCTGCCTGTTTCAGAAAGGATCAACTTCAAGATCCTCACCCTGGTCTTCAAATCACTCCACTCCTCTGCAGCCCCCCTACCTCTCTGACCTCCTCTCTCTCCTCAAAACAGTACCCATTGCCTTTGTTCCTCTGAATCTGGCCTCCTCCTCATCCCTCGAGTCCTCCGCTCCAATCTTGGCGGCCGTGCCATCAGCCACTATGCCCCGAGGCTTTGGAACTCCCTTCCTCACTCCCTTTGCCTCGCCCCTCTCTTCCTATTTTCAGGTCTCTGCTGAAGACCTTTTCTCTTCGACCGCGCCTTCGGTCACCTTCCTCCCCCTCCCCCGGCTCGGCGCCGGGATCAGTTACTGTAAAGCGCTCTGAGATGCCGTCCGGCGTGGAGGGCGTTGTATAAATCCAAGTTGTTGTTGTTGTTATTTGAGCATGCGTGGTGTTCAACCGATTGGAGACCCTTGGCCTAGATTGTGAGCTCAAGCTCCCAATGTGGGGCTTGAACCCACAGCCTTCTGACTCAGAGGTGAGAGTTCTGCCACTGAGCCAGGCTGTATCAGAATGCAGAAAAACAATCAATAGCAACACTTGCACTGTCATTTCTTTGAAGTACTTTGCGACATCCTCCTGACGTGAAAGCGGCTAAATCAACGTAAAATTGCTTTGTTGTTATTGTTGTTACTAATTTCTATAGAATCCAGCAAAGCCTCCACCTTAAAGTAACTGCTTTTGTCTTTTTCAGAAAGGTTTTCGTGCCAGATTTTCCCATCAACCTGCCATGATGTCTCATAAAAGAGCAGTGGAATGTGAGCCTCACGTAAGGACTCTGTTAAAATTTGCTTTAATAAATCAGTACTCTCTGACGTGTCAAAGTAATATTGCAAAATGTGTTGCCACCTGTTATCACAATTTTTTTTAGAAAGACCGATAATTAATATTTTATAATTACCCTTATAGCTGACTCCTTTTCCAAACTGTAACATTGTGAAATGGAATCCTATAATAATAATAATCCTTGCATTTCATACAGCGCCTTATCATGTCGTCAAGATGTCTCAAAGTGCTTCTCAGAATATGTAGTAAAATGGATTGACTGTGTATTTTGTGGCTGAAACGGGTAAATAATGTGAGCTCCAGTGCAGATGCCTGAGAAACTAGGTAGATTAGTACATGAGCAATAACAACAAGATTACATTTGTATAGCGCCTTTCACGTCGGGAAGACATCCCAAGGTGTTGGACAGTGTGCAGCATTTCAGACCCGAGCTGGGGTCGGGTGGGGGAAAGTGAGGGGAAGGGGGCTGACTGATGGCATGATCGAAGAGGAGGGTTTTGAGGTGGGACTTGAAGGAGGCTAAGGAGGGGGCGAGGTGGAGTGACTGGGGGATGGAATTCCAGAGGTTAGGGTCAGAGTGGCTGAAGGCTCTCTCACCAATGATGGGGCGGGTGGGTTGGGGGACAAGGAGCAGGCCGGAGCCGGCTGAGCGGGCGGGTTGGTAGGGGGTTAGGAGGTCACAGAGAAAGGCGAGGCCATGGAGGGCTTTGTAGGTGAGGACCAGGATCTTGATCTGGATCCTCTGAAGGATAGAGAGCCAATGGAGTCGGGTGAGAATGGGGGAGATGGGGTCACGGAGTTTGGTGCAGGAGAGGACACGGGCTGCAGAGTTCTGGATTATCTGCAGCCTGTGCTGGGAGGAATTGGGAAGGCCGACAAGCAGGGCGATTGCATAGTCGAGCCGGGAGGTGATGAAGGCATGAACAAGAGTTTCAGCGGCCTGAGGGGTGAGGTAGTAGCGGAGTCGGGCGATGTTACAGAGATGAGGGAAGGCAGAGCGGGTCATGGCTTGGATGTGGGGAAGAAAAGACAGTTGAGAGTCAACAAGATACTTAGGTTCCTGACTGGCTTGGTGAGTTGTAGTGTGCAACCATGGAGGTTGATGCTACCAGAGCCTGAAGTGCATGGGCGCTGGCATGAGCCAATCAAGAGGGCCTCACATTCAATGGTAGAAAATTTGCCCCCATCCAGGACTTGATGTCCGACAGGCAGTCTGTCAGGACAGCAGTGGTCTTGGAGTTGAGGGTGGATGCAGAAAGATAGAGTTGGGTGTCATCTGCATACATATGGAGAATGTGGATTAAGACATGGTCTCTGATTGAAGGGGGTAAATTCAAAACAAATCTGCAGAAATACTATTTCAGTGAGCGAGTTGTAAATGTTTGGAACAGGCTCCTTGGGGAGGATGGTTGAATTCTTTCAAAAGCAAATTAGACAGATTTTGTTTAGCAAATACATTCTTGGGACTATACAGTGTGTAATTTGGGACATGACATGTGCATGCGACTGCCAGGATGATGGAAGGCAAACTGGATGGACTTTGGTCTTCTTTCATCATTGTGGAGTCCTGTAGCTCAGTGGTTAGAGCACTCGCTTTGCAAGCGAGAGACCTGAGTTCAATTCCAGGCAGAGGGCGAAACCTTGGGCAAGTTTCCTTACTCCACACGCCTAATAATAATCCCTCCAAAAAACAAAAACAATAATAAATTGGTCATTTTCAATCTACGACTGTTTGTGGGACATTGCTGTGCGCAATTGGCTGCCGCGTTCGCCCACAAATATACAGTCAATTCACTTTACAGTGTGTTCTGTGAAGCGCTTTGGGACGTCCTCCCGACGTGAAAAGCGCTATATCAAATGCAAGGATTATTATTATTATTATTATTATCTAGCTTATGTTACGAACAGAGGAGGATCTGTGAGTAAGAGTAGGATGCCCTGTTCAATTCCCAGTAGGTCGAAACCTTGGGCAAGTTTCCTTACTCCACATGCCTGATAATAATCTCTCAAGAAAAAAAAATAATAAATTGGTAACTTCAATCCACGTGGGGACACTGCTGTGTACAATTGACTGCCAGGTTTCGCTCACAAATATACAGTCAATTCACTTTACAGTAGATTATGTGAAGTGCTTTGAGATATCTAGAAGACGTGAGAAGCGTTATATCAAATGTTATTATTATTATAAGAGTGGGATGTAATAGAGGTGCAGACATTGACCAGGAATCCAGGTATCTGCAACCCTTGGACTGTTAAGAGGCAGTGTCATTGCTCTGTTAGCTGCTGAAGATTCCCTCTTATGATGATAAACTAAGTCTCTCTTGCTGTGCATCAGCACTGTCTGAGCCTGGCTCAGATAATTTCTGTTGCAATATCATATTTGTCATATGAAGTGCTATTACTTTATAAGTGTGGGTGCGGTTACTGCTACTAATGATAGGATTAATCCTTGCATTTGTTATAGCACTTTTACATCAGGAGGAATACCTCAAAATACTGAACAGGATTTACTGTAAAAATTAGTGACTATTTATTTGCAGGCAAACACGGCAGCCAATTTGCAACCATAAAGTGAATGACTAATCACTTATTTATCTGGGGAACTCCCTTCTCTTTTTGAGTAGTGCTGCTGGATTTTTAACATCCGCCTGAACAGGCAGATGGGGCCTCAAATTAAAGTCTCATCCAAAGGATGGCACCTCTGACAATGCAGCGCCTCCTCCCAGCACTGCACTCGACTGCACTGCAGTGTCAATGTAGACTATGTAATTCCAAGTGCTGAGATACGGTCTGAATCCACAAACTTCTGACTCGGAGCAACTGAAGCAACTTTATCAGTAGCGGTACTTTATCAATTTTCCCCAGGCCATTTTTGTGAAGGTATTTTGATTTCAGAACTTCAGAAAATGGATAGATTTTCTGTCATCAACTTGATATTTGTAAAGTTAGAACAGAATTAAAAAGTAAGCTATTGAACCAAGGCATCGGTTTCACTCAACAGTTTAGCACGGTACTATTGAAGTAATTAATGTTTGCCACAAGAGGGAGGCAAGAGACTTTGTGTACGAGACATTACCTCGTTTTATGAGTTAGTGCTACCCAGTGTAACAGATTGTATATTCCATGCCAGGAATCTGTAACCTTTCGTAACCATCACATTTTAAATCTAAGCAAAACATTGCATTACAAACAAATAAATTCCGAGTCTTCTGCACAGAAAGGGCTTTTTGGTCCAAATCTAGCTCCGCTGGCTATTTTTCTAAATCGCCATTCTTTTTTAATCTCACTTTACTTTCGCTCCTTGTTGCTTTATGCTTCCGTGTCTTAACATTTCTATGTTAACAGTTTTGGAGTAAAATGAGCTATACATTGGATCAAGATATCTTCTAAACCAATCCAACTGGGCCAATCTAACTTTCCACTTCCCCACAATCCTCTGTGTGAAGAAATACTTCTTGACCAGGTTCTAAGTGTCTTTGTTGACTCTGATTTTAAGGCTCTGGCCCCTTGCAACAGATCTTGCAAAAACCTTGCAAGTTTTTAAGGAAAAAAATGGAAATGGAAATGGCGCAATCATTGCCCACAGTCACACATTCTTTAAATACACAAAATGCCTGTTTAAATACAGGAACTTTGGAAGGGTCCGAAAAGCGACTCCAAACTTGTCTACATTTTAATAAAAAGCGAGGAAGCCTAAGGCCTCAAAAACGCTCAAGTAATGTGCTTGTACCTTCACAACACTAGATGGAAGGCAGAAATAGGCACATCAAAGGCTGCAGGGTCAAAGCTGGCCAAACATCCAGAAGAGGAGGCTTTTGAGATGCACCTAGAAGGAGCATATTCTATATTGGAGGGAGAGAGGTGAAGGGAATTTGGGATGGAGTTCCAAAGGGTGGGGGAAGAAAGGCTGAAGGCCCGGCCACCGATGGTGGAGTGGGCTGAGCGGCGGACGTGGAGCAGGGCACAGCACTGCTAAGTGGAGGGAGTGGGCAGGTTGATGTGGGGTCAGCAGGTCGCAGTGTTAGGGAGGAGCAAGGCCATGGAGGGCCTTGAAGGAGAGGATGAGGATTTTGAACTACTGTGTAGTGTGGTGACTGTGTAGTTGTAGGTGAGCGCAGCAGCCATTTTCCGGCACACCAATGTCCCATAAACAGCCATGAATTGAAAGATCAATTTTAACTGAGGGATAGTTGGTCAGGACCCCTGGAGAATCTCCCTTCTATTTTCAAATAGCACCAACTTAATGTGCACCTAAACAGGCTTTGATTTGTCGAAAATATCGACTTTCTCGCCCTCACTGAAATCTGGATCACTCCAGGCGACACCTTCCCCTTGATAGAGGCCACACCATCTGGCTACACCTTCCATCATATCTCACGACCTAACCACTGTGGTGGCGGTGTAGCTCTCAGCTCCTGGCCCCCGCTTGGCCTATCCCCTTACTCCTCTGGAACCTTCCCCTCCTTTGAGCACCTTACCCTTTATCACCCCTCCAACCTTTCACTCAAAATTCTCCTCATCTATCGCCCCCAAGCCCTACCCACCATTCTCCCTGACATCTCCATCCTCCTAACTTCCCTCTCCTTCTGCTCCCTCCTCATCCTAGGTGACTTCAACCTTCACTTCACCTCCTCCTCTATCTCTGCTGACTTCTCCTCCCTTATCTCCTCCCTCAACCTCTCCCTCCAAATCCACTCCATCACCCACATCCATGCTCACCCTCTCGACCTGATGATGACTCAGGGCTTCACCATCTCGGACCTCGCCATCATCGACAAAGCGATCTCGGACCATCACTTCATCTCCCTTAACTTCTCAATGCATCTCCCCACTGCCACTCAACCCACCTCCATCTCCTACTGCCCGGAAAAAAATCTCCCCCCATCCCTCTCGGCTGCCTTGCAGTCATCTGAACTCCTCCCTCTCCTGGGCTTCCTCCCACAATGACCTATCCTCTTCGGTCACTCTGCTCCACAGCTCCCT